CGGACAGTGTTGAGATTTGAACCCAGGTTTTGTTTAATATCTAAGTTAGTTGTTAATTGCCTGAGTAGACTGTAAACTCTCACATGGTAGACCACCTACTAATTACATATGTAGAGCCAAATATGATGACCTAGAAAATAAGGGGGCATCCTGCACTTAATTATGATACAAATAATTGTCAAAACCACTTTAATTTCCCTTGCAAGGTTGTTAAAACTTTGAAAGTTCCTTCTTGCCTGAACTTCATTTCTAGTGTATTAAGGTGATAAATCAAATGCATGTTAACCTGATGTGTTGGCATAATATAGAATATCATCTTAAAAGACATCATAAAGCTGACTAGTATAGTCAAACAGCAACAATCACAAAGTAAAAGAGATGTGTTTAATTAACTGGAGACTGTGAGCCATCGCTTTTTCACTTTGTTCTGTAGGGCAAAAGCCACAAACCATCCGTTGGTGCAGGTTTTCAAAACTGAGAAAATCTATTGTAAACTCTCAGATCTTACAGATAGACTGCGGTGCTATTACGGCTTCAAGAAGAGCGTTTGGTATTAACCCATGGGTTGCCTGCACTCTTGTGATAAGGTTGATTTTATTTCCAAAATGAATACTATCATTTTGAACTCTAAACACTCTGGAAATTCCTATATCAAAAGGTATTTTAATAGCCATGCAAAAGAATTTTTAAGAAAATATTGCTTTCATTATATGTATATATGAGTTTCTCCCTCTTCCTGTAACATTAAAAAAAATGAAAAAACAAGGAAGAATTCATTTTGGTTCAGGAATTTAGCTACACTTCATCTTTTCCTCTGAGAACAGAAAAGTTGGATTGACATCAAGCCAGTTTATGGTATTCTAGGACTTCCAAGTACTGGTAGAGTCACTGAAATCTGGCAGATGAATATGGCAGCACTTTGCATTGGGCATTTCAGGTCTATCTGAAACGCAGAAGCACAAAGATGTCTTAAATGTATGGCTAATGATAAATTTTGATGTATTGCTTGAAATTAAATTATTGATTTATGGTTTTCAACAATTCTTATAGTTTACTAAAGGCCCGGTACAGGAAATTCGTGCACGGGATTGGGGGTGGGGGGTCCCCTCAGCCTGGCCTGGGCCTTCTCACAGTCCGGGACCCCTCGCTCCTTACCGCCAGCCTGCTCGCTGCTCCTTAGCACCGAAGCGGAGGCAGGAGAGGCTCCAGCCACAGCTCCTGCGTTGAGCGTCTTCCCCCTGGTGGTCAGTGTGCATCATAGCGACTGGTTGTTCTGGTCGTTCCTCCCTAATGATCCCTTAGGCTTTTATTATTTATATAGATAATACTTCACTGGTTATCGTGTATGAGAGTGTTGGATGGAAAATCAGAAAGGCTATACTGCACACCTATGTGCATTGATACCTCTAGCCATCAGCATAAATTACATAAATTAAGTGGGGTTTTCTAATTACATACAACTTATAAATACAGAAGATTACAGACATAACTAAATTTCCAAATAGCATTTTAAAAATCTCCCTATTTACATACATTATATATGAAATTAGCATCCTGGATGGAAGTATCTAATTTGTTTCAAATAAAATATTGAAAACTTTTTTTTTAATACAGCAGAGTTTTCATTGGGCTTAGCTTGAGATGTCTGAAAACTAACTTTGCCGCATGCACAGCAATAGTGGACAGCTGCCAGCAAAGGGCTTTATCACAGCATAAATGGGGTTTTAAGTGTTTGTTTCCAGTGCAGGTTCTCGCAGCCCAGGCACTTCCCAGTCTCATTGTTCCTTTGTTCTAGCGGATGTACAAAGGATTGACTGTTTTGTTTTCTGGCTCAGAGAGATTAGATAAAGTCTGCATTTTTGAACTTCACCCTCTAGGCACGGAACCTTAAAATTCATTTTCTGGAGCTCCTATTTTGCAGATTATATATGTTTAGATTATACTGAACATAACATCATTTTCTTTGGCCTTTATCTGGCTCAGTTGTAGACATTGATGACGGTACAGTATTAATCTCATTGGAACTATCACTGGAAAGCAGCTGTCCCTCTCATCCTTGTCCCTAAAATGCCTCTTCAGCAAAAATGTGTCATCTCGGTTGGCTATGACAAGGCTGTTCTTGAGTTTTGTTGGCTATTAGAATCTATGGTAGTGAAATACCATCCTTGCCAGATAATAAGAAAACTTTCTGTGAGGGATAATTATGTTCTTTGCTTTTATTATGATGCCCTTAATTATAGACTATTATCTAAGATAGAAATAATATTGCCAGGAATAAAAAAAAAAAAAAAAAAAAAAAAACAACTGTTTTTCCTCCAGAGCTTTTAAATGTGAACCACCTTGGGAATTTTTTATTTTATCTTAAGGGTTAGAGAGTTATTTCATGGGAATAAATTGGTAAGATTTTTCTCAAAGTTAGTTTTTATGAAGAGAGCAACTAAAGCTTTTATCACTTTGGTTTAAAAAAATTGTATTCCACTTTTGCCTTCATTTTATCAGTTATTCAGAGGAATTTTTTTTTTAAGAAGTGCTCACATTTGTTCTTATTTATTTATTAGGGGCCCAGTGCACGAATTCGTGCACCTTGAAAGGAACTGTGGGCCTCGAGGCTGCGGTGGGCACAGGGGTGGGTCTCGGCCCATTCTCTGTGCCCCTGCCCAGCCCCTTCCACCACAGCCCTCGGTCCCCTGTCTACCGGCGGCCCTGCTCCCATGTCATAGTGACCGGTAGTTTGGTTGTTCAGTTGTTCTGCCGTTTGGTCTATTTGCATATTAGGGTTTTATAGAGAGAGATTTTTTGTTAATCCTCGCCTGAGGATAGTTTTCCATTGATTTTTAGAGCGAGTGGGAGGGAGAGAGAGAGAGAGAGAGAGAGACAGAAACATTGATTCTGTCATGAGAGAAACACATTGATTGGTTGCCTTTGTACATGCTCCAACCAGGGCCGGAGCCTGCAACTGAGGTACATGCCCTTGACTGGAATCAAACCTGGGGCCCTTCAGCCCTCAGGCTGACACTCTTTCTACTGAGCCAAAACCGCTAGGACCAGAGGAATTTTTTTATGACCAAGTAGACAGAGTAAATTTATATCACTGAGTGCCCATTGTATGCCAGGTAAAATCTTCTCTGTATTTTGTTACTACTGAAAACCCCAAAATGCAGGTACTATAATTATATTCCCCAGACAGATGGGAGAAGGGAGGCTTAGACAGACGAAGTTACTTGCCCAAAGTCTTATGACCGATACACGATGAAACTGAGATTTGAACTGAGTTCCTTCTGACTCCAAAGCCCATGCCCTCTGCTACTACAACCTCCTGCTTCTATGACAAGATCTTCTCCTGATTATAGAAGTAATAATAATACTAACTAACACTGAACACATACTATATACAGGTACAGTTTTTAGTGCTCCAGATAAAATACTCAATTTAATCTTCATAGCAATTCTACTGAAATGATAGTAGTATCATCGGCATTGCATAGATGAGACAGCTGAGGCACAGGGAGGTTCAGGAATTGCCCGGAGTACACAGCTACAGAGCAGGGGAGCCGGGTGCAAGCCCAGGTCACCAGTTTCTAGAGCCTACACTCTCAGGTGAACCTGTGCTGGGATGGGGTGTAAACTACACAATCTTGTCCTCCAAGCTCACCCTTGCTTTTCTGGCTCTTAAAGTTACTGCTGCCTCAGCTAACATGTATATTATTGTTAATTGATGATGTTATAAAATCTTGTGTGGTTTATTTAATTTTTGCAGTATGATGTGCTCATATAAATCATAGCCAAAAACATAGACACATTATATAGATGACAGGCTAAAGTTAGTCCATGTATGGTGTCTCTAGGTTACCCAGAGATAGTCTTATGAACTCTCTGATCATAAATGCCTTTTGAATACAGAGTAAGATTAGCTTGGTCCTGCTTGTATTAATATTAGTGTCACAAACAAGCACCATTTAAAAATATATACTATTCTAAGAACATTGTAGAATTCCTATAGTCATTTTGTGGGAAAACTATAATTTGCCAAGAGATAGATAAGAACTGAGAACTCTGTAGCCATGCCACTAAAATATCTGACCTGACTATTGAAATCTAGTTTTCCCTATCTTAATCCCACTTTCTAGACCAAGAAGCATGTGGAATTTCTGAAAATTACTCATATGTGAATGTCTCTCAATGTTTCTACTCCCAGCATTCAGGGCAGGGAGAGTCTCGTTTCTCAAATGGTCTCTCTGCTCACTAAACACTGTTGATTTAGTTGCTAACCTGGAGACATGCTGTTCATCCTATTTCGAGTTCCATAGCGAAGATTCGATACATGGGAAATGGGACTTTGCAAACTGACCCAGGCTTTGCGAGTTGAAGCTACGTGAACAGCTGGGTGCAGGATAACCCATTTCCACCTACTCTGGGGCCCTCAGTAGCTCCAATATGTCCCAGAACTCAAATTTTGAAAATTTAGTGACATAGGAAATCCCAGCTGTTGAGAGAATTCATTTTGGTGAGCAAACCTAGCCTAGGCTCATAATCAGGCCTATATCTTTTGTGGGTTTCTGATATCTAAAACAACCAGAAGTTAGCTTACTTAGCCATGAAAACCCACAACCTTAAAAAGAAAAATTTGAGTACAGCTTTCAAAATTATTTCTTAATGTCTGTATTTTCTGTTGATTTTCATAATTTATCCAAGATAGCCTGGATGTTTGTCAATGTTTGAAAAGTGCTGAACTTGCAAGCCAAAGACAATATCACCTTACTTGGAATTCCAAACAGAATTGTCTCAACCAAAAAGTTTTATTAGAAAAAGGAGTTTATATGACTAGTAGCTGAGTGGGTTTCTTTTTTTAAATTAAATGGTAAGTTCGGAAGTGGAGTAAAATGCTGGTTTGTTCATGGGCAGCAGATGTTTTAAGAACAATGAATCTGGATTATAGCAAGGTAAGCACGTTTTGCAGGAGTCTTCATGCCACCTTCTCTTTCTTGGTTTTTGCCTTGCAGACCCTTTGCCTCCTGCTAGGTTTGAGATCAGTAAAGAGAAGACTACTTCAACCAGCCTGCACGTTGGGTGGACTCCTTCTTCCGGAAGAGTCACCTGGTATGAGGTGCAGTTACTTGATGGTCACCAAAAGATGCAGGAGGCCCAAATTCAGGAGAGTACTTCATGGAATGAATATGCATTTTCTAACCTTACTGCTGGTAGTAAATACAATATTGCCATCACAGCTGTTTCTGGAAATAAACGGTCCTCTACAATTCATATCAATGGATCAACAGGTAAGAAGATTACAGGTAGTTGGGTAATTAATAGTCTATGCTCCTTTCACATTGTATTAAGTTCAAGAAATGGAAGTAAGAATGCTCCCACATCAAAGATAGGTACACAATACATACATACATACATACATACATACATACATACAACATGCAACAATGTTGTGTGATAGAATGGAAAGACTAGACCGAAAATAAGGAGGTGTGGCTGTGCTGCTAACTTGCTGGGTTATTTTGAACACATCATGGCATTTCTCTGGGTCTAGAGTTTTCTACAAAATAACGAAGTGTTTCCTAATGGCCCTTCTAACTCAAATCTTAGACAACAACATTTTCCGAGTTTGTGCCATAAAACTAATTTGTTAACTGTTTTCCTCCTTTGTATATTCTTCTCATCACATCAAGTCATGATGTTTTCTAAAGATCCCCATGCTTGGAACAAGTCTTTGCTTGCACCCAGACACCCTAAGATCAATGATATCTCACCATCTCCTTCCACACGGGGCTATCTTTCTTATCATTCACTCTCGCCTCGTTTTCTCTCCTGCTTTATTGCTCTCTTCCCATTTTTCCTCTCCTTTAGTTCTTTACTTTTTCTTTTTCCCTTTGCTGCGATGCCACATCATACTTCATGGGCAAAACTACAGAATCACTATATGAAGTTGGAGAGACAAACAGATAAACTATGATGTAGCTTTAGGCTGTGGACTTTGAAAAGAGCATGAATCTAGGTTCTGGTGAAATCTCAAAAGTGCTGTTTTCATTACTTACCACACAAGTTAGATGTACAGAGAAACATAAATGAATGTGCAATTTTGAATTAAATGCGTCTATGTCTTCTACAAGGAAGTTATGAATGACACTTTGCAAATGCATTTTATCCCATTAGTGCCATCCCCGGTGAAAGATATTGGTATTTCAGCAAAAACGAATTCTCTCCTGATTTCCTGGTCCCATGGCTCTGGGAATGTGGAAAGATACCAGCTGATACTAATGGATAAAGGGATCCTAGTTCATAACGTTGTTGTGGACAAATATGCTACTTCCTACACTTTTCATGGACTGACATCTGGCCACCTCTACAACCTCACCATTGTAACTGAGGCTTCAGGGCTGCAAAACCGAAAGTGGAAACTGGCCAGGACAAGTAAGTGCCCCAGCTAGCTGAATAAGAATGATGTGCAAATCAAGGAAATGTTTAATAAACAAGGCTTATGATTGACTAGAATAATGATAATATAGGACAAATTGAAATTCATATGTCATAGAAGGCCCTTAATATGTATCCACTTTTCTGATTAGAAAAAGAGGAGTTCCCTTTATTCTAAAGTATAGACTAGCCCTTGGCAGCATTCTGAAGTAGCAGGTTAATTACTGATAGAGTCCCAGCTTCTCATTTCAGTATGCCAGTCTCCCTTCTCTTAAACAGGATGCCACTGCCTTTGTGACTTCACTCACCATCAACCAGGGTACTTTTCTCAGCACTACGTGAAGACCCACTCCTGTGAAACAGCCATTTCCCCAAAGCTCTGCCAAACAAAACATGCCCTGAGACCCAGAACCCCAGGACCTGTCTCACAGCCTAATATAGCCCGATAAACTGATGTGTGCTGTTTTAATGAATAATTCACACACACACACACACACACACACACACACACACACACACTAATTCATTCATTCAATATTGTTTGGGTGTGAACTCTATGTTAGGCATTGAGAATATAACAACACCCAAAAGAGACAGAGCCTTTGCCCTCATGGAACTTACATTTTAGTAGATTCTAATCTTCTAATGAGTTCATAAATACAATCTCTTGGGAAAGTATCTGATTTTAACATAAACTCAGATATGTAGTGCCTTAAAAATGATTCTAATGAGAGTTTCTGGAACTTTCAGAGGCCTGTGGGAATGTACTTGGATACCATACATTTACATATACCTTTCATATCACATCTCAAAGATGTAGAGACATTCCCAACAAAGATATACCATATACCTTAAGAATTGTTTATGTATATCAAGAGCAAATTACGCTTCTAACTGATTTTTCAAAATCATTCTTTTAATGAAGTGTTGTTAATTTATATTATGCCATTAACGAAGCCCCAAAATACAGCATGAGCAAGAGGTAGAAAACTTATTCACCAAAATATCTCTCCTTTGTGATCATTTTCCATTGATGAAATAATGACAAAACTTTTTTTATTTTTTTTGAGGAGGAGGAGTAGAAGGAGAACAAGATATAATTTTAATTTCAGGATCAGTGAGTCATTGACACGACTCTTAAGCTTTAATTTTATCATCCTTTAAAATGAAAAATAAAGTATTTTTAGCACACAAAATTTTGTTTTAGCCAATCAGTTGACCCATCTATTATGTACTTGCTATTATTAGATACATAAAGAAGGGGAGAAATTAGGCAGATGACGACCTCTTTGACCAAGTGCTCATTTACCAATAGGACTCCTAGGCCCAGTGAGATGGGCAGAGCTGCCCAGGGCCGCCCAGCCAACTCAACTCAGTCGGAGCCAGAATTCAAACTCCTACTGCCACATTGGTGCTCTTTCCACCAGCCAAATAGCCTTTCTTTGGTTTTGCAGTATTATATTTGCCTCATGAAGATGTCATTTTCTTCTGTGCAGGGAGTGTGGCTTGTCAAGATTAAAATTCAGGTCAGCCCTAGCTGTTTTGGCTCAGTGGATAGAGCGTCGGCCTGCGGACCAAAGGGTCCCAGGTTCAATTCCTGTCAAAGGCACATGCCCGGGGTTGCAGGCTCGATCCCCAGTAGGAGGCATGCAGGAGGCAGTCAATTAATGATTCTCATCATTGATGTTTCTATCTCTTTCTCCCTCTCCTTTCTTCTCTGAAATCAATAAAAATATATTTAAAAAAATAAAAATAAAATTCAGGTCAAAATTTAGGCCCAAGACTGGTAAGCTATCTTAGTTAAAGTCACTTATCCTTTCTTCCTAATTAGCCCCCACAGAAGTCTCAAATCTGAAGGTGACAAATGATGGCACTTTGACCTCCCTAAAAGTCAAGTGGCAGAGACCTCCTGGAAATGTGGATTCCTACAACATCACGCTGTCTCACCAAGGGACCATCACAGACTCCAGAACATTAGCACCCCAGGTTACAGAAACCCAATTTAAAGGCTTAACCCCTGGACGACTTTATCAAGTTACCATCAGCTGTGTCTCTGGCGAACTGTCTGCTCAGAAGATGGCAGTGGGCAGAACAGGTGAGGCTGGCCCCAGAATATTTCTTGGTTGCTCAAATCAGTCTCTGATCCATCTTAGAAGAGGAGAAGGAAAATTCCTTCCCTAACCTGGGGAAGTATATTATGTAGACCAATTATGTAGACTCTACATAATTGAGGGTGTCTGTGGTCAGGCCCCACATACAGAGTAAAGCAGAGGGTTAATTGCATTTATCTGAGTTATTTAAGCAAATGTGTTTGGATCGATTCCTGCCTGATTTACATAACTGGCTCTGCCCTGTGCTATTTCACATCACACCACTTAAGTAGCAAAAATGCATTCGCATTGATACTAATAAATGAAATATTTCTAATCAGCATTTATAATAAGGGCCAGTTAGCACTTAACCATATTTTTACTAAATTATTTTATTAATTGAAGTCACCAAACATTTACCCAGGGCCTTCTATGTGTAAATTATTGTAGCATGAGCTTTGGGATTTGTTAAAATGGCAGGGTTCAGCCAACTATATCCTTCTGCCAAATATAGCCTATAACCTGTTTTTGTATAGCCCCACGCTGAGTGGTTATTACATTTTTAAGGGTTTACAAAAAACACAGAAAGAAAAATACGAGACAAAGACCATAATGGTCCGCAAAGCCTGAAATATTTACTCGCTGACCCCCTTGTTCTTAAGGAAGTTATGTTCTAATCACGCAGATGTAGAACATACCCACACAAAATAAAAATACTGCAGTACATTTTAATAATGATTATTGTGTTGCTATTTCCATGTGTCAGGCACTGACTTTACGCCATTATTTCATTTAGTTCTCACAAGAAAGGTCCTATTATTATCACAGTTTTACAGATTACTTGTCCATAGTCATCAGCCAGTAAATAGTGTGGCTGGAGTTGAAATCAGGCTGTCTGATTCCAGAGTCCATTCTCTGTGTTGTTAGAGACCCCAAGTAAGAACCATATGTCCAGAGAGACAAGAGAACAAACATTTCTTTTAGAAGAGCAGTAAAGACTTCCTGAAGAGAAATAAGGGAAGGGGATTTGAGGTGGGAGGGACGACATAAGCAAAGGCAGAAGAGTCCAGGAGACGTACACGTCTGCAGAGCAAGCTCCTGGAGGCCAGCATTGCAGAGGGTGGGGCAGGAGGGAGAGGCTGCAGGAGAAGTCAGGAGACTGGAAGGATATGGAGGCATATTGTGGTAGAGAACTGCAAATGCCACACCAAGGACTTGGTTTGTTCTGCAGTTAATGGAGAGACCGTGAATGTTTTTGAGCAAAGGAAAAAAATCAGAGCTGTATTGCAAGATTAGTGTTTTTCAACTGAAAGAGGAATATTTTATGACCACAACATGCAGTCTTTTCAAAAAAATGCCATATCCATCAATGTCGCGGTCATTAGATGCAACATCAATATTGTCTCTAGAACTGGTGTGCAAACAGTGTTCATATTAGTAGGTTATTAATGAACAGTATTGCAGAAGATCGCATTACTGATATACTACTAAAGTGAGTCGGGCATACATTTCTGGAGTGTCAACTGTCTTCATAGTGAGGAAAGAAAACACTCATTTGCAATCCACGAACATCAGGTGGGGATAGAAATGGTATGAGTTGCAGATATTAAGTCTCATATCTCCTGTTGCCCATGAAGAGTGAATAAGTATCCTTATTTCTGGTTTTTAGTGTCTCCTTTTTGACATCATTTCACCATTTAGTTCCAGAGAAAGTTGGGCACCTGGAGGCAAACAGCAATGGTTCCGTGAGGTCCCTCGTAGTGAGCTGGTCGCCCCCTGCTGGAGACTGGGAGCAGTACCGTATCCTGCTCTTCAATGATTCCTTGGTGCTGCTCAACATCACCGTGGGAAAGGAAGAAACACATTATGTCATAGATGACATAGGGCTCATACCGGGAAGACAGTATGAGGTAGAAGTCACTGTTGAGAGTGGAAATCTGAAGAACTCTAAGCGTTGCCAAGGCAGGACAGGTAAGCAAGTATCAAGGTGCTAATGACTGATGGAATTTTAATTTGGTCCCTTTACCAAGTAACCCAGGTAGCTGTCAATGTCATTTTCTGAGTTTTAGATGTTACATATTTTCAGACTGAAATAGGGTTACTAATGTTTAATTTTGTCAAATAAGAACATTAGAAATCCCTTCCACTAGTAACACTATTATTTTATACAGTCATGAGCCGCATAACAACATTTTGGTCAGTGACGAACAGCATATACAACAGTGGTCTCAGAAGATTATAATGAAGCTAAAAAGTCCTATGACCTAGTGGTGTCATAAACATTGTGACATCACAGCTCAATGCATTACTCACGTGTTTGCAGTAATGCTGGTGTAACAAACCTGCTCTGCTAGTCATGTCAAAGCATAGCATATACCGTTATGTGCAGTACATGCTACTTGATAATAAAAGACTGTATTACTGATGTATATATTTACTACTATGTTACTGACTTGTATATTGACTATACTGTTACCTATTCGTACATTTTTATATCATTACATAATGTGAACATTATTTTAGAGTGCACTCTTTCTACTTATTAAAAAAAGGTTGCTGTAAAACAGTATGTCATGTTACAGCAGAAGCAACCTCAAACATCTCATGTTTACTGTATTATTTGTTCTGTGCTAAATTTAATCTTGTGTTGTTTTGTTCATCATGCCTCCTAAGTGTATAAAATCCACAGCTAATGTTGCCAGTAAGAGGCCACATAGAGAGATTGACCTGGAAATGAAATTGAAGTGATTAAGGACTGCGAAGGTGGAAAATCAATGATGGTTATTGCTCATCAGTCAGGCATGTCCCATTCCACCATAGCTATCATCCTGAAGAACAAGAATAAGGTGATGGAAGCTGTTAAAGGATCTGTTCCATTGAAAGAGGCAAGACTCACAAAAATTTGAGAAGGGCCTATATCAGACATGGAGAAACTTCTAATGACCTGGATGGAAGACCAGACACAGAAGCATATCTCTTTTAGCACCATGACAATCACGGCCAAAGGAAAATGTCTGTTTGCAACGTTGGAAGTAAAGGCTGGACCCGACTATGATGTTGAATTTCCTGCTAGCTCTGTGTGATTTAAACGATTCAAGAATCATTATTCATTACATAATGTGAATGTAACTGGTGAGTCTGCGAGTGCCAATGTGAAGGTAGAAGCATGTTTGGAAACTCTAGATAAGCTGATTGTGGAGGAAATTACTTTCCAAACCAAATATTCAATAAAAATGAAACCTCCCTATTCTGGAAACAGATATCTAAAAGGACTTTTATCCATAAGGAGGCCACGTCAGTGCCAGGTTTCAAGGCTTTTCAGGACTATTATTCTTCCATGGGAACAATGTTGCAGGCTACAAATTGAAAACCCTTTGTGATCTAGCACAGTGAGAGTCACGGGACCTTCAAGCATACCAATAGGCACACACTGCCAGTGTGCATCCTCTTCCAGAATGCCTTTCTGAATTGCTATGTTTGGAGAATAACATACCTTTCAAGATTTTGCTTATTGTTGGTAATGCTTCTGGATATCTTCCTTTTATTGGTGATCTTCTTCCCATATCAACACCACCTCTTTGATCCAACGAATAGACCAAGGAGTCATAGGAGCTTTGAAGGGCCTGGGGAGGACTCCCCCATCCCTACCCCCACCCCTCACCCCCCACCCCCGCCCCGGCTACTGCTGTAGCTGAGGAAGACACAGAAAACACCGATGCAATTCTTGAAGGACTCAACATCTATGTCTTCATCAAGAGCCTTGCTTCGGCTTGGGGTGATATCACCAAGGAGTGTATGAATGGCATCTGAAAGAAGAAATTCAAGAGGTTTGTCCATGACTTCAAAGGATTTGCCAAGGGTGAGGAGGTTGTAAAAATCAACAAAGCTGTGTTTGAGGTGGCAATCAACTTTAACCTGGGCGTGGATGAGGATGCTGTTGAGCTCCCAGAGGTGCTTCCTGAGGAAGTGACTAATGAGTTATTGGAACTGGAGCAGGAACACATAGATGAAGGAGTGAGAAAAAAGGAAACCAGGAGAAGAAAGAGAACCCCCAAGTAAATTCAAGCGAATGGTTTAACAGAAGCCTTGCCAACTTCAACAAGCTCTTACAAAGTTTGAAAGCATGGACCCCAACATCGAAAAGTTTTCATTAATAGAGAGGAATGTTCGTGGTACGTTGTCTGCTTACAAGCAAATCTGTGATGAAAAAAAGAAACAAATCAAGCAAATTACCATGTACATATTTCTGAATGGAGGGACACTTCAAGTAGAGACTCAGGCTGGTCCTTCAAGAGGGATTCTAGAAGAAGGCATTGTTTTCACAGGAGATGACAGAAAATGTCTTTGGTGGACAGAAAATTCACAATATAATTTTGCACACTTGATTCTGTTTTATGGATTAGCACTTTACTCTTCACAATGTCTCCTAGAAGTTTTAATAATAAAAAGTGGAAGAAATTTCAGTTATTTGGATATTTGGAGTCTTTAATCAAATATTATTATTATTATTATTATTATTATTATTATTATTATTAGTTACCAGCTTTATTATTATTACTCTCCCTTTCATGAACACATCAGTGTTCCTACCTTCGAAATGAAGGGGAAAATCACTTTGTCTTTCCAAGCTAGGGAGGCAACAGACACTCCTAATCCTCCCAAAGTACTCAAACATGGATCTCCCTCTGTGGTTTTGTGGATGACAAGATCCAATGAAATATTTTCATATCATAGCATACATATGAAGACATAAGCACTCATAAAGTATTATGTGGCCAAAAATGAGAGACCCCATATTTTCCAATAGTATTATTTTAAATCCTTATTTCTGTTTGTTATATAAAGAAATATCTTGTAATGAGTTTTCATTTTTTCATAAGCATTCAGAAAAGAAATGCTGAATTGGAATACTTCTGTGGATGGGAGAAAACAGCTCTAAAGAATATGTGAGTGTTTCTGAGTCAGTCAGTGACCCAAGTCTCCATTGCTTTTTCTCAGTCCCCATGGCTGTTCTCCAGCTTCGTGTCAAACATGCCAATGAAACCTCACTGGGCATCATGTGGCAGACCCCTGTTGCAGAATGGGAAAAATACATCATTTCACTAGCGGACAGAAACCTCTTGCTCATCCACAAGTCACTCCCCAAAGAAGCCAAAGAATTCACTTTTACTGACCTGGTGCCTGGACGAAAATACGTAGCTACTGTCACCAGTATTAGTGGAGACTTAAAAAATTCATCTTCAACGAAAGGAAGAACAGGTAATATTCTTTATAAACTTTAGGCTTTAGAAGTATCCTGTCTGCTGAATTGTTTAACACTCAACTTATAAATGTTCACTAAATGCCTTTTATGTACTGGGAATTGATTTATGGATCCTTTCTGGTTTTTTGGTTTTTTTTTTATTTTTACTAATTTCAGCTCTTGTCTTTAATAGTTCCTGTTTTGTTTTACTTTGAGCTTATTTTGCTAAAATTAAAACAGAGCAGAGAACAACATTTCAAGGAGTTTTGCTGCAAAGGAAAGCAGAGAAATAGGGCAGCATCTGAAAGAGAAAGTATGTTTGAAAGGAGGATTATTTTTTAATGATAGAATAAAGGACAACATATTTTAGAAGAAAGAGGAATGGTGAGGCTATACAGAGAAAGGGAAGAATTGTTGCAATTATTCTATGAATAAGCAAGAAGTATTGGGATCTATAGCATCAGTGAAAGAATAGGCTTTGGAAATGACATGAGTAGTAAAACTTGAGAGTCAAATGGGAGAAAGAGAGTATATGGGTGCAGATACAGTAAATAGATGTAGTGGTAGCAGTTATCTTTTGATAACTCTCATTTTCTAAGTGAAATAGGAAACAAGGTCATCATCAAAGACATCCCTTTCCAATTTATATACTATTGTTGTCCTGTATTTTATTTCTCTCTTCTTTTTTAACCTCACAAAAAAATGTAATTATTGTATCCTTGGATTGACCCACCAATTTACCAAATTTTTCTTCATCTTTTCCTCCTGTATCTCAAATTCCATCTTGTATTACATTTCTTCATCTTAGAGAACATTCTTCAAATGTCTTTACTGAGATGTTTACTGACAAACTCTCTACACTTTTGTTTTTCTGGGTATGTCTTTATATAGTTCTCAACTTTGAAAAATATTTTCCCTGGGTTATAATTTTGCTGAAAGTTATTTTCTTTCAGTACATTAAAGGTATTATTTGAATCTTTCTGAAATTTATTGTTGACATTAAAAAGTTAGCTGTCAATCTAATTTTTATTTCTCTATGTGTAATCTGTTTTCTATGATTGCTTTTAAGATCTGCTCTTGGCCTTTGGTGTTCTGCTGTTCACAGTAATGATCTAAGTACAGACTTTTTGTTTATCCTTGCTTAAGATTATTGGGATTTCTGTATTTGCAGATTAGTATCTTTCATCAGTCCTGGAAATTCTCATCTATTAACTCTCTAATATTGCTTTTGCCTCTTCTCCATTCCCCCTCTGTGTCTCCTACTAGTATTCTAGAACTTTGTAAGTAACATTAGAATCCTGAAATACTGCATTCTAAGTGTAAATAAAATAAATATTTCCTTTTTACTCTCCACATCACCCCAACCTCCTTAACAGTGGATGGAAAAGAAAAATTTTCCTCTGAGAATTCATAACCTCAAGACAGCGTCAGTAAACTTGCAATATATATATATATATATATATATATATATATATATATATATATACACACACACACACACATACATATACTGGTATTTTAGAATATTTTTTTTTCATGTACTTGCTTTCTGGGCTGTAATCTGGTTAATTTCCTAAGCTCTTTGTTTTAGTTCATTAATTCTTTCTGTGTTTCTTTCTAAACTATTTTTAAGTCAACCCATTAAGTTTTAATAATTGATATGTTTTTCACTTTTAAACATTTTCTTTGATTCTCTTTAGTCATATTTCCATTATCTTCCTTTATTGCTATAAGCTTATTAACACTTTTTATTTTACATTTTATATCTGATAATTATTTGAAATCTTCAGAAGTGCACTTCTGTTGCCTATTGGGTTTGTTGCGTTTTGATCATGGCACTTTACTTCCTTAAATATTTGTGACTTTTTTACTGTAAACTCACATACCTTAGGATTTTATTCTGTGGGAACTCTTTGATGCCTTGTTTGAAAATGGGTTTCAAAAAGAACTTTCTTTTCATTTGATTCTTTCGGGTACACAGGACTACTATCAACCCAGACCTATTTTAATCTAAATTGTTACCTTGAGATTTTTTGATCATCCAGGTCTTATGAATTTAAGTTGCAAGTTTACTGACGCTGTCTTGAGGTTATGAATTCTCAGAGGAAAATTTTTCTTTTCCATCCACTGTTAAGGAGGTTGGGGTGATGTGGAGAGTAAAAAAGGAATATTTATTTTATTTACACTTATAATGCAGTATTTCAGGATTCTAATGTTACTTACAAAGTTCCTCAGCCTGGGAAAGTCCTACACTTTGTCTCCTATTTTATAGATCCTACAAAGCTATAAAGTCAAAGCTTAAATGTATGTTTAAAACATGACTTCAGGATGAAAGTCTACTTCAGTTAGCCAGTTACCTCTTTATAACTTACTTTTAGATCTCTGAGAATTCCTTACATTCTTGACAACTCATTTATGCATTTACATCTTTGTGTTTTATTCACTACATGTAGTTGTGTTGATTGCGGGGGGAAGGGGGGGGCGGGGGGGTCATCATCCTGTCTGGAAGTCCAAGACATTGTTTTAGACTTAGAATCATTTTAATTAAACCTACCACTGCCCTAGCTGGCTTGGCTCAGTAGATAGAGCGTCAGCCTGTGGACTGAAGGGTCCCAGGTTCGATTCTGGCCAAGAACACATGCCTGGGTTGTGGGCTCGATCCCCAGTAGGGGGTGTGCAGGAGGCAGCCAATCAGTGATTCTCTCTCATCATTGATGTTTCTATCTCTTGCTCCTTCTCCCTTCCTCTCTGAAATCAATAAGGAAATATATTTTAAAAATAAATAAATAAATAAACCTACCACTTATAGTGCTGGATCATATGGTAAGTATATGTTTAACTTTGTAAGCAACTGTTTTCCAATGTGGTTGTAAAATTTTACAGCCCCACTAACAATGTATGAGATTTCCAGTTCCTCCTTATCCTCAGCAGATGTTTTTTTTAAAAATGTTAGCCATTCTAATAAGTATGTAGTGATATCTCATGTTTTCAATTTGCCTTTCCCTGATAACTAATGGTTTTGAGCATCTTTTCATACGCTTATTTACCATCCATTTATCTTCTTTGGGGAGGAAGATATTTTCAAATATTTTGTCCATATTTATTTCTTATAATTGAGTTTTGAGAATTCTTTATTCCAGATATAAGCCCATGATCAGAAATATGCATTGAAATGTTCTCCCCCAGTCTGTGGTTTGTCTTTTCATTAATTTATTAGTGTATTTTACAGAATATACATTTTTTATTTTCATGTCTAATTTATAAGGTTTTTTTCATAGATCATGCTTTTGATATCATATCTAAGAAATTTTTGCTTTGCTTAAGATAAAGTCACAAAGATTTTCTCCTAAAATTTTTTATAGTTTTAGGTTTTAAATTTAGATATGTAATTTCTTTTGAGTTAAATTTTATATGTGTGTGAGATACAGGTCAATGTTTAATTTTTTGCATATGAACATCTAATAATTTCAGCCCTATTTATTAAAAGACTGTCTTTTTTCTACTTAATTGCCCTTGAATCTCTGTAAAAAAATCAATTGACTATACATGTGTTGTTCTATTTCTGGACTCTCAATTCTGTTTTATTGATCTATGTGTCTGTCCTTTTGCCAGTATCACACTGTCTTCATTACTGTCGCTTTCTAGTAAGTCTTGACATTAGATGATGTTAGTCCTCCATTCTTGTTCTTCTTTTTCAAAGTTGTTTTGACATATTAATTCCTTTGCTTTACACATGAAATTTGGAATTAAAATGGGATTTTCTGATCTTGTTTATTAATGTTTTTCCAGCTTTATTGAAAAATAATTGGTATACATTACTAAGTTTATGGCGTATAGTGTGATGGATTGATTTACATATATTATGAAGTGTTTACCACAATAAGTTCAGCTAACATCCATCTTCTTCTGTAGATATAATACAAAGGAAAAATATATTCTCCTTGTGATGAGAACTCATAGAATTTACTCTCATCAAACTTCCTATATATTATATAGCAGTGTTAGCTATCGCATTCATATTGTACTTTCCTAGTATTTGTTTATCTCGTAACTGGAAATTTGTACCTTTTGACCATCTTTGTCCAAAATAATATTGTTTAATAAATATGTTTGTATCTGAATCCAAAAGTCAAAGAATCCTGAGAAGAGTTGTGCCAGGGTCAATTGCTTTGATTATCATAATTCAGGGAAGAGGCACAGAGAAGATGTATGTTGATTAAGTGCCAACTTCAAGATTTGTGTGAAAGATTTGTCAATGGATAGACTAGAAATCACAGTAGGTACCAATTAGGAAAAGAGCTCAGGTTCACAGGTTAGACAGATCAGGATTTGAACCCCAAATTATTTGCTAACACTGTAATTCAGACTAAATTACTTACATTTTATGGTCTTTGGTTTCCTCCTCAGGAAAGGGAATAATAAAATGAACTTAATAGAATTTTGAGTATCACACAATATAATCTCTATAAAGCATAGAGCCCATAACTGGCACACAGCAGACACTCAGTAGGTATTATTATTATATGACAGTATAATTTATATTATTGTAACATTTTCATGTATACTAATAAAATTTCTCCTGAGAATGTGCAAGTAAAGAATTAACCAGTTTTCTAAACTACAACCTAATCATCAGGTTGAAGGGATTTCCCAATACCAGCCACAACAGCTATCAGCTCAGGTAGATGGTGTGTCTTTCAGTTTTAATGGGATAAGGGCAGATAAATATCACATTAAGTAAGCAATCTTCAAAAGCAGCAGCCTTTCATTATTGAAAGTTTTAAATCAAAACTGTTTAATAGGCATGATGTCATCTCATCTTTGGATCCAAAATAATTTTGATTTCCCACATAGGCAGCTTTTCCATAATAGTAGAGTCTCTGTGGGGGAGTAGTTTGCCATATGCCACAGGAAATAGAGCTGAGAGCCTATAACAAATTATATATACATATATATATATATATATATATATATATATATATATATATATATATATATCTTCAAAACTGTCTCCATATTTTACTTATTTTTATTACACTTCCTTAGGGTGACTAAGTGTCATCTCTTTTTTCCTCTTTCTGTCTACTGTGTTTTAGTGCCTGCCCAAGTGACTGACTTGCATGTGGCCAACCAAGGGACAACCAGCAGCCTATTTACTAACTGGACCCAGGCAGCAGGAGACATAGAGTTCTACCAAGTCTTACTCATCCATGAAAATGTGGTCATCAAAAATGAAAGTGTCTCCAGTGAGACTAGCACATACAGCTTCCACTCCCTCAAATCAGGCAGTCTCTACTCCGTGGTGGTAACAACAGTAAGCGGAGGGATCTCTTCCCGACAAGTGGTGGTGGAAGGAAGGACAGGTAAGAAGAGCACATGGACCTCCAGAGTTGCATTTTTAAAACATTCTATAGACAGTTTAATTTCTGATCTTCCTAAAAGCCAAGTCTTGGTACCATCCAGAAGGTAGATGTTGCTCTTCCAGGAATGAAATGCTCTTCCAGGAGGGCGGGGGGAATGAGGGTCGGAGACAGCGAATTCTCAATTTTCTAAAAATCTCCAATAAGTGACAGAACTCAGAAAAACCTTTGTGATGCCATGATAGTCATTTGATGCCAAATCTCATCCATTATACATGATGAATTGATATTGACAGTTATATGAAAACTAGAGGCCTGGTGCATGAATTTGTGCACAGGTGGGTGCCTCGGCCTGGCTGGCAATTGGGGCTGTCTCGCCCAGTCCCAATCAGGGCCAATCGGGCTTAGCTGGCAGGGGGAGGTGCTGCAGGAGGTTGGCTGGCCATGGGAGGTTAGCTGTGGGAGCACACTGATCACCAGAGGGTAGCTCCTGCATTGAGCATCTGCCCCCTGGTGGTTAGTGCGTGTCATAGTGACCAGTCAACCGGTCGTTCGGTTGACTAGTCTTAATGGTCACTTAGGCTTTTATATATATAGATATTTAGCTGAAGTTAATCAACTGATGATGAAAACAGTCATGCAATTTGTATATACTATAGGACTTTATTATGATAGCCATCAAGGGCAATACTATTTACTATGCACTAATTTCTGACACAATACCACAGTTATTAATTTGCAAACTACTTCTAGCCAGGGAACTTCTGAAGGGTATCCACATCTTTTCCATTTTGTACACTTGGAAGATCGTAAGCTCTCAGTGAATGTCTGTGGCACTCAGCCCAATTAAAATAAGCCAACGATTATGGTTGACATCAGAAAGGCTGTTCTCACCACAATAGCTCTTTCTGACCACAGCTGGTCCAATCGCCAGACTTGTTGATTCCAAGAGAGGATTCTAGGTTTGTTTGTTTTTGCCACTAGAGGGCAGGAAATGCTTTGCAAAGAGAGAGAAAAAACCCACCTCTGGTTGTGTTAGTTATTAGACTCCCCAGGAATAAATAAATTCATTGCAATGAGATCAAAGCTATGCTCAAGTCTAAGCTTTCTAGAAAAGCTATTGCATTCTTTACCATTTCACTCAGTCATCATTATTGATGAGTTTGATTCAAACACTTTTATTTGGATTGTTAGGATGTTTGTTCCCGTTTCTACATAGGGGACATCCTGACACATTTACATCAAAATGCCTCCACTTAAAATACTTTATGAACAGCTACACCATAAAAAATGCAGTAGGGCCAAACCAGCCAGCCTGTGCGGCTCAGTGGTTGAGTGTTGACCTATGAACCAAGAGGTCATGGTTCAATTCCTGGTCAGGGCACATGCCAGGGTTGCAGGCTTACTAGCATCCGAAAGGCCTCCTTGCATTTTCATTTTGATTTGCCTTCTGATATGAGAGCACTCATAGCATGTCTTGACCTCTTTTTTATAATCAGATTTGATCTCCTGAGTTCACACTGTTTTTTGTGACCATGATAAATGACTCAAACTTTTTTGATTGTGCTTTTCTTTTAAAACTGTTCTCTCCCTTTTACAATCCTAGTCCCTTCCAGTGTGAGTGGAGTAACGGTAAACAATTCTGGTCGCAATGACTACCTGAGCATATCCTGGCTGCCAGCTCCTGGAGATGTGGATAACTACGTAGTGACTCTGTCTCATGGTGGCAAGGTGGTTCAGTCCCTCATTATCGCCAAGTCCGTCAGCGAATGCTCCTTCAGCTCCCTCACCCCTGGGCGCCTCTATGATGTGACCATAACCACAAGGAGTGGAAAGTATGAAAATCATTCCTTCAGCCAAGATCGGACCGGTAAGTCTATGAGAAGGTACAGGTTCTAAAAGAGCCAGCTTACCATGTGGCTCAAACATCTTAGATTTGCAGTATTTTTGTAATCCTAGGAGAAAAGGCCACTGAGGTCATAGAATTGTTACAGAGTCATCATATTTTGACCCAAGAAACCCCTATGTGAGGAGAAATTACCATCAGAGTAAGATGAACAATACTTTATGGCTAGAATTCATATTATATTCAAGCACAATAACAAGTTTTTCTGTTTAGAGAGTATTTTTTAGTTGCTAGAGACCCTGGCTTTATATTTGTTAACTACCTTAACCCTTAAAAATTCGTTATTGAGGTAATAGTTGTTATTATTACTCCCACTTTATTTTTTATTTTGTTGTTGTTAAGCCTCACCCGAGGGTATTTTCCCCCACTGATTTTTAGAGAGAGTGGAAGGGAGGGGGAGAGACAGAGAGAGAGAAACATCAGTGTGAGAGAGACACATTGATTGGTTGCCTCTTGCACACACCAGGGATGGAGCTGCAACCAAGGTACATGCCCTTGACCGGAACCAGACCCGCGACCATTCAGGGCTGAAGCTCTAACCTCTGAGCCAAACCGGATAGGGCTATTACTCTCATTTTAGAAATCAGGAAACCAAAATTAAGGTTAAGTAACTTGACTACTGTTTAACTTGTTGACTAGCCAGTGCATTTAAAATCCTAGATTTAAACCCAGTTCTGAATAACTCCAGAGCCTACTAACTTCTTTTTTAAAAAAAATTTAGATTCTTTATTATTCAAAGTATTATTTATGTCTTTTTTCCCCCATTGATCCCTCCCTGGCCACTCCCACCCCCCAGCACATGCCCTCAACCCCTACTGTCTATGTCCATTGCTTATGCTTATATGCATGCATACAAGTCCATTGGTTGATCTCTTACGGCCCCCACCCCCACCCCGCAACTCCCACCCTCCCCTGCCTTCCCTCTGAGGTTTGAGGGTCTGTTTGATACTTCTATATCTCTGAATCTATTTTGTTCATCAGTTTATGTTGTTCATTATATTCCACAAATGAGTGAGATTATGTGATATTTATCTTTTTCTACTATGTTTTTCATCCTGAAATCCTTCCTGAAATGTCTGTTGGTCAAGACTACTGTTCATCTTTTTTTACACAGGATAAAAATATGAACCTTCATAGTTCTGGGACCAGGAACAAAATCTTAGCAAAGGCAATGAATGCCAGGTCTCCGGTGTGCTGGAAAGAACTAAATTTAGACAGCTAGCATTTCCCCAATATTCTTTTTTTTTTTTTTTTTTTTTTTTGAGAATAGTTTGTTGATTTTTAGAGAGGAAGGGAGAGGGAGAGAGAGAGAGAGAAACATCGATGTGAGAACATAGCATCAATTGGCTGCCTCCTGCAGGCCCCCTACTGGGAATTGAACTTGCAACCCAGGCATGTGCCCTGACCGGAAATCGAACCAGCAACATTTTGGTGCAGGGGCCGATACCAACCAACTGAGCCACATGGGCTAGGGCCACAATATGATTTTGCTTCCTGGGGTTTACATCTGCGATTTCTGTTTAAGGTTGACATTAATATTTGTCAAATCTTTCCTGCTGAGATTTTCATTTTAAAATGTCAGATTTTCTATGCGGATCTGGAACAATTAACAACATCCTATGACTTCACACGTGGTCTGAATCTAGTAGGCACTCAAATGTTTAGTGAATCAGAATTCACTTAGATCAGGGATTTTCACCTAGTGCTCCATGGGTAGACTTTAGTAATGCAGTAATCCCAGAAATTGTCCCTGAAGTTGTTGGGGATAGGGAAGGTATGTATATTTGGGGGGGAGTGCATGGTTTCTTTCAGATCCTCATAGTTTCTGTGACCTCAAAAAGGATCAAGAACCACTGATTTACATTGTTACATCATGCTAGCTTTGAAAGTGTTCGTAGAACAATCTAATCCCGTCGCCATTGGAAATAAAGTCCCAGAGAGAAACTGGCTTCTCCATAGTCACATGGTTGACCAGTAGTCAAGTTCAATCTGCCTCCAGCACTATTTCCATTATATCTTGTGATCCCTGAAAGCACTAGTCAGGGATATAGAGATATTCCCTACCCTCAAATGATTTAAAATCTAAATATACTGATAATCCCAATAATGTCTTAAATCTGTAAAAGCAGATTTCCATTTACAAAGCAGCCTGATATCAGTGTCTTATGTTAATCAACTTGGAGCCTAAAAAATCACCAAAAATTAAAGGGTATGTCAACCAACTACAGTACTAACTCTGCTTCCCCTCAGCATCAACTCATGAATGTTTCCTGTGCATCTGACCTTTACATTGCAAGGCCTTTTGCTAAGATTGTTTTTAAACACAAGAAAAGTGATTCTTTTTTCAAAGCACCCTCTTGATAAAAGAGGGTGCTCCACCAGCATGAACTTGGATTTGGTGCACGACTAATCGAGGCAAACCATTAACCCTGACAAATCAGTTCAACTGGAGAGTCATGTCTGAGCTTCTGTCTTTTTAATTTGGGCTGATTATCTCAATGTTCTTTTCCTTTTCTGATATTCTTCTACATTTCGGATGAAAATATCAATATTTCTAATTCTGTATCACATCACCTCACCGTGCAGCAAGGCAAGTCTCACACATTACCTCCAGTTCCACCTGGAGAGCCCCTTATTGCCTTAGCATGGTATTCAGCTTGGTGTTTCTTTCGATAATAGTTGCTTTGCCTTCAATAAATTGCTTGGATCATTGACCTTTCTTAACTCATGCATTCAACATCACTTCAGAATTTCTCCTCCTTAACTCTGTAATATCTAAATTCTAGCAACACTGTCATTGGTTCCAGGTAAATATCTTGAAAAAAGCATGCCTGTCCTTGCTCCATATCTGTGGTGAGATTTATGCCAATACAAAAACTAACCAGTACACATAAGCCAACAAAGGATAGTAGTGCAACTTGTAGGTGTGAGAAACATCATGAAAAATGTACCTTAGATGCCAAAATACTGACATTTAATACCTCTCTCACACACAAGTGGAAGAGAAGACTTGGACATAGGCTGGGCATGTGGCCAGAGCAGAAATCCCCGATTTACCAAACACAGACAGAGGCCACACAGACCTAAAAGACATGCTAGTGTTGGGATACAAGTTCAGTACTCTGGATCCACGTTCATACCTCTTTCCAGTGCTCCTTCTCATATATTGATAATATCCAATTATAGCCACAGAGTAATGACCCACTATTGAATTAAAATACAGTCCCAAAGGATAAATTAGAATATTCTTAACATTATGCTCTAAATACAGATTTTAAAGTGTTCCTGTTAACAAGTATTTATTGATTGATCAATTGAGAAAAAAACCCACAGGTATACGGAATTGTATTTTTGTTTATATATTTATGGAGGCGGGGAGGAAATCTCAGGTGCACAAAATTGGATTAATCATAATTCTTGGTTCTTATTTTTAGGCATTTAACTTAATTTAGATAGAAATCTTAATAAGTTAATATGTACCTGAGAAACCACGATCCAAAATAAAAACTAGGAACCTGACACTAATCTATGTCAGGTAAGGTGGTTCCCACTTCACTAGTCCATCCCAAGGTAACCAACAACTTGACTCCAATTTTCATCTCTTTCTTGCTTCCTACCTTGCATATTTTATTATTTGTTGTCCTAAAATTATAGGTTTTAAAATTTTCAGTTGTTTTAACATAAAAATGTATATTTTATGAAGTATATAATCTTTTGGGACTTAGGTCTTTTTAAATTAATAGTATATTGATAAGAGTCATTCAGATTTTGTGTTTTAATGTTAAGATCAAGAAACCTATATTTTTGTGTTTTGAGTTAAGAATAAACTAATTATGACCGCCATATACTAGTTCATTCAGCTAATCTCCTGTGGATGGGCATTCTCGCTCACATTTGGTTTTATCAGGCTTTTTAATTTTACCGATCAAATCTAAGATATATTTTTCCATGGTCCGGACTTATATTTCCTTGATCACCAATGATGTTGAACATATATCTTCATGTATTAATTAATCATATGTGTTTCCTCTTTCACGTTCCTTTTGGATTGTTTATATTCTTCTTGGTGACTTTTTATCATGTCTTGAATCACCAAGGTATGTTGGAATTACTAATACCATCACCATCATTCATATTAATAATCAGTTATCATGTTTAATGTTCTATTTTGTACATGACATTTTCTGTAGGCTAAAAACAGGATTAGGATTAATTCATCAGATTCTTTTTTTAAAAATCCATTTAATCATTCCAACGATTATAACAGTCTTTTCCTTTCAGAAATGTGTGGTTTAAAGGTCTAAGACTTTTATTTAAAATGCACACAATAAAAAATCTCCTCACTTTTTCATGTTGTCCCAGGTTGTCATCTGTGATCAATTGCTCACTAAGAATCAGTAAATCTTGAGCAGTTCTCTGTTCTGTTTTCAGTGCCTGACAAGGTCCAAGGAGTCAGTATTAGCAACTCGGCCAGGAGTGACTACTTAAAGGTATCCTGGGTGCATGCCACTGGAGACTTGGATCACTATGAAGTCACCATTAAAAACAAAAACAACTTCATTCAAACGAAAAGCATCCCCAAGTCTGAAAATGAGTGTGTATTTGTTAAGCTAGTTCCTGGACGGTTGTACAGTGTCACTGTTAGTACAAAAAGTGGGCAATATGAAGCCAGCGAACAAGGGAATGGGAGAACAAGTAAGTGGAAAGATTGCAAAATTGGATGGTCGGTTGGGTCTTGAAGGTTACTGAGTAAATAATTTATCTGAACCTTGAATTTTCTCTACTTAGTTATCAGTAAATTACATTCCCAGTAAGTCTCACTCAGAACTAACATCGTTTAGCCCAGCCATGGCCTACAATTATAGGATATTTATTGGGAGATAAAAGCAAATATACTTGGCAAGCAAGAAGGCCAAATGCCCCATTTTTCTTCTCTGTCCTCTTGCATTGTGCATTGTGACATTTAAAGTTCTGGACGTTTTGTTTTATCTTATGATTGAGATCATAACTCATTTTACAATTAGATTCCACCAACATTTAGCATATAAGATTTATATCAGGAAAATAACTACAATTTTAGCAGTTGATTTTCAATTTTTCTTGTTTAATTATGCATGAAGTAATTTAAGTGACTTATGTGGGGAAGAGAGATGTTTGCCAGTTCCTTGAATGTGATTCGTAAATTATTGTGTAGGCAAACTTTGATCAGTCACTTTCCTAAGTGCCTTCTAATACTCCTCCCTAGTCCCAGAGCCTGTTAAGGATCTAACATTGCGGAATAGGAGCACTGACGACCTTCTCGTGACTTGGTCACGAGCTGATGGGGATGTCGACCAGTATGAGATTCAACTACTCTTCAATGACATGAAATTACTTCCTTCTTTTCACCTTGGAAATACTGCCACTGCGTATCGCTTCACCTCCCTGATACCCGGGCGCCGGTATAAAATTCTCGTGTTGACGATCAGTGGAGATGTACAGCAGTCAGCCTTCATCGAGGGCTTCACAGGTAATTGGAAATGTGGATCTTGAACCTGACCAGTTATAGCAGTGTACAGTTGGCCCTTGAACAACATAGGTTTGAACTATGTGGATCCGTTTATATGCAGATTTTTTCAATAAATATGTTGGAAATTTTTTTTATTTTCTTACTACCATGAAGCAATGATATCTGTTATTCTAGGCTACCATAAAACCATCCTATTTCTGCTTCTTCATTATCAGTGAATGAATCATTACACCTGTAAATAATATTATTTTTTTCACATTATTTTCTCATTTCTGATGTCTATTCTTAGTAGTATGTATAACATTTACAGTGTATTGTGTCACATAAGACAGTATTGATGTAGGTACTGACAAATAGACAATCCATCTTGTAAACAGATGGCATAAACTTAAGGTACCGATACATACAGTAAGTACTATAAATGCATTTAATTTTCCTTACAACTTTTTTTTTTTTATTAGTTAAGGTATTACAAATGTGTCCTCATCCCCCCCATTAACCCCTCTTACAACTTTCTTAATATTTTTCTCTAGCTTACTGTATTATAATAATCCTATCTAATAAAAGAGAAACATGGTAATTAGTGTCACTCCGCTACCCTTCCCATTGGCTAATCAGGGCGATATGCAAATTAACTGCCAGCCAAGATGGCAGTTAACCGCCAACAAAGATGGCGGCTAATTTTCATACTGCAGGCAGGATGGGACAGCAGCGCCATTCTGCCTGCCCCGCCGCCATCCGGGCCTGCTATCTGTGACCTGGATGGCGGGCGACCCCAGAGCTGGTGGGCGTGACCCTGGCGGTCCGCCAGCTGTCACGCCCCCAACCGGCCCTCCCGCCAGGAGATCCGGGCTGGCGGGGCGACTGCTGCTCATCAGCCATCAGTCACACCTCCTGACGGGAGATCCAGACTGGCGGGGCAACTGCTGCCCGTCAGCCATCAGTCACGCCCCCAACCAGCCCTTCCGCCGGGAGATCACAAGGACAAACTCTAGACAGAGTAGGAATATTCGTACCTGAACCCGTTTTCGTACATGGTCAGTTATATGTTGCTTTCTGTCGAGTTCGAAGAGCGTGTGATGTTAAAGTTGTAAATACTTTATCCCAAGGGAAATTAGTCAAGCACTCTGAAAGTGTTTTTACTCTTAATGTGGTATACAGGGAGATATTAGAATAAGTTTAATCACTTTATCAGTCATTATTTGCATCAGTGTTGTTTTTACATCATGAGTTTTTTGTTATATCATTTTATTATGGTTTATTTATTAATAAAATTATGTATTATTTTCATATACATTGTACTCATTTCCTTTTATCTCTCACACTTTTATTATAGAGAAAGGGCAAATAGCAACATTAAAATATTTCCTCTAATTAATTCCCTTTCAATGTGCACGAATTTCATGCACCGGGCCACTAGTATAGTATATAATACATATGACATACAAAATATGAGCTAATCAACTGTTTATGTTATTGGTAAGACTTCCAATGAATAACCGGCTACTAGCAGTTAAGTTTTGGGGAAATGAAAAGTTATATGCACACTTTCAGCTGCATAAGAAAGAGGAAGTGTCAGTGCCCCTAACCCCTACCTTGTTCAAGGGCAGCTGTACTGGTAAGTGTAAATATCTCTGTTGCTTGGATATCACTTCTTTGGAACTTTATTAGTAGTGTTGCTATAATAGTTAATGTTTATTAACAGTTTACCATAAACCAGACCCACAGCAAAACACTTTACACATACATTCTGTTTAATCCTCACCACTTTATGGGATGGTTGCTATTATTATCATTACCATTTTTCTGATGAGGAAACAAGCTTACAGAAGTTAAGCAATTTGCCTGTAGTCCCACAGCTGGCAAATGGGAAAACCAGGACTTGGACCAAAGCAGTCTAGCCCCTTGCTCTATGGCTGGCACCGTTCACTTCTCCTCACTGGCTGAGATGCCACTCTAAACTTCCCTCATTAACTTCAGTTCAGGCAGAAGAGTCAGAGAAAGTTGATAAATTGATACCAGTTTTTTCTATGTGTATCCTTTCAGTAAATGCCAGAACATAAGAAGGACAAAAACTTTGGTTGAAATTCCCACAGTTCATTCTCTAAGTGATGACTTTTTAATTTATTTTCTTTTTCAGTTCCTAGCACTGTTAAAAATATCCATGTCTCTCCCAACGGGGCGACAGATAGCCTGACAGTGAACTGGACTCCTGGTGAGGGCGATGTTGATTCCTACACAGTGTCCGCATTTAGGCAGAACCAAAAGGTTGAATCTCAGACTATCCCCAAGCACATCTCCGAGCACACGTTCCACAGACTGGAGGCTGGGGAGCAGTACCAGATTGTGGTTGCCTCGGTCAGCGGGTCCCTGAGGAACCAGATAGATGCACTCGGCCGGACAGGTAAGCATCCACCTGGAGAAGGGCCAACTTGGTCTCCATAATGGGACAATGGATGTGCTTAGTTACTCACAAATCAAAAATACCCAAATTTAAAACCACCTAAATTTGTACAATTCAATATGGTTTTAAGAGCGTTTCTCATATTTCTTTGCATTTTTCTTTCTTAATGGAGACTTTCAAAACAAATGAAAGGTAATTAGGAACCAAATCATTTGAATAAATTTTTTAACTTGTTAAAGGCTTTAAAATTTTAACAAGCAGACTTCTATAATTATGCATTTTTCAAAATATTATCACTTTCTCAAAATTCTTTTTTAAGAAAATAAATGTTCCTATGCCATCTACTTCACTTGTGATAGCTAAAGAACAAGTAATAAATCAATGAATAATGTATATGTTTACTTATATTACTATCACTATTAATATATTACTTTCAAAACAAAAATCATCTGCAAGCACCTGCTACATGCCAGACATCCTATCTAATAAAAGAGAAACATGGTAATTAGCCGTACATCTGCCACCCTTCCCATTGGCTAATCAGGGTGATATGCGAATTAACTGCCAGCCAAGATGGCAGCCGTCAGCCAGGCAGCTTGAAGTTAACATGAGGCTTGCTTGCTTCGGTGACGGAGGACTCCAACGTTCCCCGCCTACCTTGCCGGCCTCTGAGCTTGCAGTTTGAAACATTCTTACAAATATAGAAGCTAACAAAACCCCAGAAACCTGCTTTCAGCCAGCCGCGATCTCAGAGCTGGAGTTGATACAGTGTTTCGATTATAGAACCCAAACAAACCAGATACCTGCTTTCAGCAGCAGAGGCCTCAGAGCTGGAGCCAGAGCTAAAGCTGGCCCAGAATAAAAAAGAAAAGAAAAAAAGGAGCAGTTGGAAGCTTCAGTCACCCGCCAGCCTGAAAACAGCCCTCAGCCCCTCACCCAGACTGGCCAGGCACCCCAGTGGAGACCCTCACCCTGAAGGGTGTGTGACCAGCTGCAAACAGCCATCATCCCTTCACCCAGGCTGGCCAGACACCCCAGTGGGTGTCCCCACCCTGATCCAGGACACCCTTCAGGGCAAACCAGTCGGCCCCCACCTGTGCACCAGGCCTCTATCCTATATAGTAAAAGAGTAATATGCCTCCCAGCACTGGGATCAGCGGAGCCACGAGGCCTCCTGGCACCGGGATCAGTGTGACAGGGGGCAGCGCCCAAATCCCTGATCGTTCTGTGGCTCTGTGTGTGACAGGGGGCAGGGCCACAACCTCCCTATCTGCCCTGCTCTGTTCGTGACAGGGGAAGGCGCCCCAACCCCCTGATCAGCCCTCTCTGTGCCTGATAGGGGGGAGCTCCCCAACCCCCTGATCGCCCTGCGGCTCTGTGTGTGACAGGGTGCGGCACCCCAACCCCCTGATAGGCCCTGCTCTGTGTGTGACAGGGTGCTGCACCCCAACCCCCCCCCCCACGGGCCCTGCTCTGTGTGTGATGGGGTAGAGCCATAACCTCCCCATTGGCCCTGCCCTGAGTGTGACAGTGGCGGCGCCCCAACCTTCTGATCAGCCCTGCTCTGTGGGTGATAGAGGGCAGTGCCCCAACCCCCTGATCCGCCCTGCTCTGTGCATGACAGGGTGTGGCGTCGCAACCTCCCCATCGACCCTGCCTTGAGTGTGACAGGGGGCGGTGCCCCAACCCCCCTGATGGGCCCTGCTCTGTGTGTGACAGGGGGTGGTGCCCCAACTCCCCAATCAGTCCTGCTCTGAGCCCAACCAGGGGCTGCACCTAGGGATTGGGCCTGCCCTCTGCCTCCCGGGAGCAGGCCTAAGGTAGCCAGTCATTGTCTCCCGCGGGGTCCCAGACTGCGAAAGGGCACAGGCCTGGCTGAGGGACCCCCCCATCCCCCCCGAGTGCACAAATTTTTGTGCACCGGGCCTCTAGTATATATATAAAAGCCTAAGCGACTGTTACAACTGAACAACCAGAATGACTGGTCAACCAGTCACTATGATGCGCACTGACCACCAGGGGGCAGACACTCAATGCAGGAGCTGCCCCCTGGTTGTCAGTGCACTCCCACAGCCAACCTCCTGTGGCCCCTCCCCCCCAGCCAGCCAACCTTTTATAGCCCCTCCCCCTGGACCCCAATCAAGGGGCCGGCTGGCCAACCTCCCACGGTCTCTACCCCCTGCCAGTTGGCTTCCCCGATAGGCCCTGATTGGGGGGCTGGCCATCCAACCTCCCGGGGTCCCTCCCCTGGCTGGCCGACCCCCTGATAGGCCTTGATCACCGGCCAGGCCAAGGGACCCTACCCATGCACAAATACGTGCACCAGGCCTCTACTTTAAAATTATCTCTAGTCACACTACCTGGTAGAGGATCATCATCTCTACTTTAACAATAAGGAAAATAAGGCTAGAAAGTTTATGAAACATTATCTAGATACATGTAATAAGGTCTGGAGCTACTAGTATATTTCAAATCTAGATCTGTTTGTCTCCAAACTTCATGTTCTCTCTACTGTGACACAATACTTCTTAGGTGTCTTCCTTTCTCATAACCATTTATTTAGTTGTGGGGCTTGAGCCTTACTATGTCTCCAATTGACATATTTCCCACCATGTGTCAATCACTGTGCTAGAAAATGAGAATTCAGTAGCAAGATAATGCTTCTGACCTCAAGAAACTTATAATCTATTGAAGGAGACCAAGAAGTAAAAAGGCAATGACAGTATACCATGGTAAGTGCTAAAATAAAAATGAATATGGGGTACTATAGGAGCAAACAGAAAGAGTCAGGGAGGAAGTAATAGTTAAACAGATACTAAGAAGTCATCCTGATGAAGCAGAAACCTTGGCACACTGGGGACCCTTACACTGTTTAGTATGCTGGAATAAAGAATGTGAGCCATGTGGCCAAGGAAGTAGACAAATCAAATTGTAAAGAGCCTTGTATGCCTTATGAAGGTGTTTAGAATTATGGAGAGCCATTGAAGTGTCATCAGCATGCATGTACTATGAGAATATGCCCGATACACATGTAGTTTGAAACTGAGAGGTAAGGAATCAAAGGGACTGGTCAAGTAACTTGTAATAATGTATGAGAGAGATGATATTGTCTTAGGGTAGTGGTAACAGACAAGGTGAGAGATAGAGAGATCCAAGAGAAATAAGATTTAGGAGACAGAAATTATAAGATTAATGATTAATTATATGTAGAAGGGTAAGAGTTTCTGATTTAGATCAAGAGATAGAATCAAAGGACAGTAAGGAAATTATGGGAGGGAGATGAGGAGTCCAATTTGGGCATCTTGAGAGTTGGACATTTGTGGAACATCTAGAGAGATGTCATTTGCAAAAATAGAAGACAGGTCTGAAATATAGCCTAGGACAAAAAATATTATTAACAAATAACACTATTTTGCCTTTCACATCAAAAGCCGTAGTACAAACACTATTATATACTATTGCTTAAGTCAAGGCTTGAAGCTTTGACTTGAGTTAATCTTGGGAATAAAAGTCCAAACAAGCAACTACATATTCCAAACCATATTCATTGAATGTAAATTTGTTCAGCATTCTTGCACTCTCTAGAAAAATACATATACATCATTCTGAATATTTATCAGTGTCACTTCTATGAATTATTCTACTTGTTTGACTTCAAGAACCTGTCTAAATTCAGAGAAAAAAATGAAAAATCAAAGCAATCCTACAGATAATTCAGGACAAGAAATATTTTCTTCTAAGGGCACATGGAAAGTGTCAATGCAATAATGAGGCATCACCTTCCATCTGCAGTTGCTTTAGGAGACATTTTCTCAACTGATTACTTTATCCTAAATGATGAAACCTGCTTCTTTTCTTCCTTTGCAGTCCCAGCATCTGTCCAGGGAATAATTGCAGACAATGTATACAGCAGTCATTCCTTAATAGTAAGTTGGCAAAAAGCCGTTGGCATGGCAGAAAGATATGATATCCTACTTCTAAATGAAAATGGGATTCTTCTGAGTAACACATCAAAACCAGCCACCACGAAGCAGCACAAATTTGAAGACCTGACACCAGGAAAGAAATACAAGATACAGATCCTCACTGTCAGCGGAGGCCTCTTTAGCAAGGAAGCCCAGACAGAAGGCCGAACAGGTAATTCACACAGCCTGCTGTTTTGTGTAAGATATCTCCTTGTCTGCTATTCCTTGGGAACAGTAGCCTCAGAGGGATGAAGCAACATGGGGAGATCACATATATTTCTTGACACCGTAAGAATGGAGACATGATTGTCCATGTCCACGTCAGCTGGCCTGTGGACACAACTTTCAGCCTGCCATACTCCAATTTAGATTTTTCATGAAAACTGTCTCTATTAGTTGCCTATGGCTGCTAGGGTAAATTACCACAAATTTCGCATCTTAAAACAACATCAACTTACTATATTATAGCTCTGGCGGTCGGAATCTGAAGATGGGTCTTATGGGGCTGAAATCAAGGTGTTAGCAGGGTAGTGTTTCTTCTATAGACTTTAGGGGAGAATCTATTCCTGCCCTTATCTCTTCTAGCGGTCACTCAGGTTCCTTGGCTCCTCGCTCCCTTCCAGCAGTGGTAATACCCCAACCTCTGTGCCTGTCACCAGATCTCCTTTACTCTTCTGCCTCCCTCTTCCATATTTGACTCTTGGGATTACATTGGTCACTACCCAGATAACCCAGGATAAGCTCTCCATCTCAAGAACCTTAATTTAATCACATTCACAAAGTCCCTTTGGCCTGTCGGAGGAAAAAGAGGTCAGTATAGCTGGAGAAGAGTGAGTGAGAACACAGTGAGGCATGTAGTCAGAAAAGTAATTGGGGTCAAGAAACGATCACAGTTGTAGAAATCCTAAGGGTCGAAAGCTAAACTAATGCAAGGAGGCTGATGAAAAACAGTAGATATAGTCAAGAAATATTTCTAAATGAGGTAAGATGGTACTTGGTGACTAAGTGGAGTGCAGATGGAGGAACAGGAGATTCTGGAGTTCCTACCTGGCGTGTTTGGTAGAATATAGGCCATGAATTTAGATGAGAGACACAGAAAGAGGGAGTTTCAAGGAGGAATATACAGGATTCCATTTTGGACTGAGTTTGAGATGTCTGAATGACTTTCATAGGGAGGTGATTATTGGTAATTGAAAATATGGGTCCCAGCTCAGAAAAGTGAGAGATAGAGATTTGGATAAAAAGTCTAATTAAATCCATATCTTAGTCTGTTCAAGCTGCTATAACAAAAATACCATAAACTGAGTGGCTTAAACAACAAATACTTCTTTCTCACAGTTCTGGAGGCTGGAAGTCTGCGATCAAGGCACCAGTAGATTGGGTATCTGGTGAGGACTCGCTTTCTGGTTTATAGATAGCATTTCTCATTGTGTCCTCACATGATGAAAAGAGGCGAGAGCTCTCTGGGGCCTCTTTTTAAGGCACTAATCCTGTTCATGTGGGCATCACCCTCATGACCTCATCATCTCCCAGTGGCTCTACCTCTTAATACCATCACCTTGGGGGTTAGGTTTCAACATATGACTTTGGGGGAACACAAACATTCAGACCATAGTAATTCATAAAGTGAATGAGAATGATTGCTTAGCTATTGTTATAAGATATGAAGGGGAGAGAGGATAGAACCATGGACAGCACCAACTTTTAAGTGCCTGACATAAGGAGAAGAAGGAAGCAAAAGAGCCTGAGAAGGTGTTTTCAGTGGAGGGAAAAGAACTCAAGAGAGACCGAGACAAATGCCCTGGTCTGTTTCCACCTGCATCTGAAGACTTCTGTGGAATCAGGAAGCATCTGCACCAACAGTGTCAAAGCTGGTGATTTCAGTTGGCATTTGATTGCTTTCACCAACAGGTAGCACTAAATGGGATTGCAAAATCCTAATGTAAACTTTTTTTAAAAATAGTTTGGACTTTCCTCTTGCTTCTCTTTCCTCTTGCTTCTCTTGCCTTTCCCTTTCTTTCCCACCAGTCTTTCCTCCCCACAATCCTTCCCTCTCATGGTCATTTCCTAGCTCCCAGAAGGCATTCAGAGACAGTTTTTGTTTTGTTTTGTTTTGTTTTGTTTTGTTTTTATCTCTGATATAGCTCTTAAAATTAGAAAGACATTTAGTCACACAGGTCAGATTAACATTTATTATATACCCCCCCCCTCAAAAAATATATTTGAAGATACTTTCCCATTACTGATTTTCCTTGTTCTTTTGTGGTTTTGTTTTTAAAATGAACAGTTTCAGAATCAATAATTAGATGTATGTATTTACTTTAATGTCTCCATGAAGTCACTATTTGTTAAAGGCAGGAACCATGTGTTTTGAACTATTTGCTTGAGTGAACTCATCCAGGTGCCACGCTATAGGCTGTGTCATGGACATGCCAAAACTCAATCTCACTCTCTTGCTCCTCAACTTTTCCAGTGCCAGCAGCTGTCACCAACCTGAGGATCACAGAGAACTCCACCAGACACCTGTCCTTCACCTGGACCACCTCAGAGGGAGAGCTCAACTGGTACAACATCTTTCTGTACAACCCAGATCGAACTCTTCAGGACAGAGCTCAAGTTGACCCACAAGTCCAGAGCTTTTCTTTCCAGAACTTACTGCAAGGTCGAATGTACAAAATGGTGATAGTAACTCACAGTGGGGAGCTGTCTAATGAGTCCTTCATATTCGGAAGGACAGGTAAGACCGGGGCCCACGCACTGAGAAAATTATCACAATAGTTGCTATTCTACCCAGGATATAGCTTTACATGAAATTTGTGACCGTCAGGCTTTCTGACCCTAAGTCAGACCTTTGATTATAGTTTTTGCACTGCCTTCTGCTCGGTTGCCTCCGCTTGTTTACCTCATAGGTTGATGAAAAAATGAATCTCGTTCCTCTACTTCGAAGAGGGTTATTTATAATCCAAGCTGTGCCCTTAATCTTTCTACAAGACATAGATGGAGTAGAGGACAGGTCCCGAGAAGGACAACTACAAATGGGACCAATAAGCAAAGACTGCTGGGAATCAAAACCACAATGCTGGATGAAGTGAACAACAAGAGTTCCAGGAAAACAAGAGGGAGAAACATCTCTCTGGGATGCAAATAGGAATCTGGACCTTCTCTTATTCCATAATTTGAGCCTATTCTCTCATTTTTCTATTCAAAATTATTTTTCATTTGACATTAGTTTTTGTTGTTGTGTCCAAAGCACTGGGCTCAAGTCTGGAACATGACAGTGAACAAGAGAGATGACACCCCTAACCTCATTGAGCTCTACATTAGTGGATGGAGAGGGGCAAGGGACAGCAGATTTTAAAGGGAGATGATTTTGGAACACCTGAAATTCTGTGAAGGGGATAAACAGTATGACATTGTGACAGAGAACTACTTGGCAGGACAAGAAACTAGACAGAGCAGGCATTTCAGCTGAAACCTGAGGGAAGCCATGTGAAGAGCACATTCCAGGCGCCCAACAGAAGTCCTACGTTTGTCTTTTGAAGGGAATGAAATGGAGCAGCAGATAAGCCTAAACCGTGAATAGACTTGCCTATGTGTTACCATTTCCAGAGCAGTTTATGCTCTGCACGTTAATGCTTCCAGTTCCTCTAACTAGAGACAACAGTCTTCATTCTTCAAAGGATGATGATGCTCAAATACCCTTGGGACAGGTGCCAGCATAACCAATTTATATAAAGGTAGAAGCAACTGTTAATAAAGATATTGGTGAGAAAGAGCATAAGAGTACTGAGAACTTAAAGCTGGAGAGGAAGTGGAGACTCAGAGAGGGACGTTATGGTGCGGCGGCCACGGTGACATGGGCCTGACTGCAAGGGCTGGGACCTTCTGTGAACACTTTTAGGGCCTTTTATGAGTTCAGGTATAAGCTGCTTGACCAGTTTTAATTAATCATTTCTGAAGATTTCATTTTATATGTCCATTAAAGTTCATGTGGCAAGCATACAAAGGTCACCACCTGTTGTGTTTTGTTCTATTTTAATTTGTACCACATTCTCCTAAACCTGAGTGAGCTGAGATGTAGGCAAGGTCTGACTCTGCAGTAGGAGCTATTCTCCCATATGCCCAATGCAGCTCATATTTTCACCTGTGGGCCAAAATGCCTTTGTTTCTGCTTTGTCTTTGGTAAGGGCTCTCCCTCTGTTTCAGTCCCAGCCTCTGTGAGTAACCTCAAGGGATCCAATCGGAACATGACAGACAGTCTCTGGTTTAGCTGGAGTCCAGCCCCTGGGGACTTCGACTTCTATGAGCTGATTCTCTATAATCCCAATGGCACGAAGAAGGAAAACTGGAAAGAAAAGGACCTGACGGAGTGGCGTTTTCATGGCCTTGTTCCTGGAAGGAAGTACACCCTGTGTGTGGTAACTCACAGTGGAGAGCTCAGCAACAAGGTCACAGGGCAGAGCAGAACAGGTAAGAAGCCCAATTGCCAATGGCCAAGTATTGGTGGGAAGTAGCTTCCAAAGACGTGTTTTGTTTTGTTTTGTTTTGTTGTTTTGTTGTTGCTGCTGCTTTTAAATATATTTTTATTGATTTTAGAGAGAGAGGAAGGGGGACAGAGAGAGAGAGAGAAACATTGAGAGATCCATCGGCTGCCTCCTGCACACCCTACTGGGGATGGAGCCTGCAGCCTGGGCATATGCCCTGACTGGGAATCAAACCAGTGACCTCTTGGTACATAGGATGAAGCTCAACCCACTAAGCTGTACCAGCCAGGCCAAAGACATATTTTAATTATGGCTTTAATAAGAAGAAACATAAGTAATAAGGATGTGCCATGTGCTAACCCCTGAACTGGGGGGAAAAGCACAATGGTACAGTGGATAAAGGAAACAGAATTTGGTTAAAATGATCTAGGTTCTTAGCTTAACTCTGCCACTGACTTAAGTGAAACTGGGAAGGTCACTGAGCATCTCTAAGCCTCAATTTTTCTTGTCTGTAAAATGGAGATAATCACATACATCATCATTGTGTGGCTATGAGCAGTGCTTCCTAATTTTTTTTTTAATTTCTTAGGCACACATAGACAACATTAATATATGTGTGTGCCAATCTGGGGTCAATGGACAGAGCCATCTGAAATTGGACATAATCTTGGACTTTAGTCCTCACAACTCAAAATATGATAGTATTAATACCTTTGCACACTTGTAACCCATTCAGGGCACACCCATTTAGGGCAGCACTCTGGTAAGGAAGCTCTGGTTATGAAAATGAAAAAAAAAATGTACATAAAACACTTGAGGACAGTGTCTTCCACATAGTAAAGCTCCTATTATTATATTATATTATTTCCTCCTACAAAGTACATTTAAGTATGTCTGATGTCGCTCAGCTATCTTATTGGCATATGTCATGGCATAGAAGTGATTACATGATTTTTCACGTTCTTCTACATACAGCCCCAAGTCCTCCCAGTCTTATGTCATTTGCTGATGTTGCAAACACATCCTTGGCCATCACGTGGAAGGGGCCACCAGACTGGACAGACTACGACGACTTTGAGGTGCAGTGGCTACCCAGAGATGCAATCACGGTCTTCAACCCCTACAGCAACAGAAAATCAGAGGGACGCATCGTGTATGGTCTTCGTCCAGGGAGATCCTATCAGTTCAGTGTCAAGACTGTCAGCGGAGACTCCTGGAAAACCTACAGCAGACCAGTTTCTGGATCTGTGAGGACAAGTATGACATGTTTTCTTACTCTCGGTTCTCAAATGGAATGAGAAGGAAGTATGTGTTACAACATGTAATTCCAACCGGGCTTGATTTAAATCTACATTTTTACTTGGAATTGGTTAGATTGAATCCAGGCAGAATTATCTATAGATTTGTTCATTTATTGATATACTAGCAATAATGAACAATAAAGAAAAATCTCAGAGAGCTTACAGTCGAGTGGGAGGCATCATCTTTAAAAGCAATTTCATTTGGGTGTGATGAAGGAAGCATTTGGCACTGTAGAAACCCATGTAGTGGCACTGACCCAATGCAAGGGAGCTTCCAGGAAGAAGAAACATCCAAATCAAAACCTAAGGAAAGAGTAAGATCCACCAGGTGGAGACGGGGAAAGAAGTGGAAAATATTCCAGGTAGAGAGACTAAAATATTCCAAGACCAGGAAGGAGAGAGGAATGGAAAGGAGTTTCGTTGGCAAAAGCATAAAAGGTGCAATTAGGAGAATCAGGTCATCAAATGTCTTGTGAGCCATTGTAACGACTTTGAACTTTATCCTCAATCAATCAGAGCCACTGAAGAATTTTTGGCCAAGATGTCATAATCAGATTTGTACTTTAGAAAGCCACTCTGGGTACAGTGTAAAGAATAGGTTAAAAGAGGCAAACTAGACGCAGAGAGATCGGTTAGGACATATTGTTACAAAACTGAAGAGAAAAATATTTTTAACAGTGAAATATGTATCAGTTTCTTCTCAAAGGCATTTTGGGATCAATGAACTAACCTGAAAGAAACAAAGGTGTTTCAGAATAGGAACCTCAATTCAAGTATTTATTTTTCAATAATACCTAGTAAATGTAGCTTCTCAGATCAGATAGTGGTTATTGAGAAAATACCTAGCTGGAAATTAGAAATTTATGCAAGTAGTTGTTTTGTTTATTCAACAAACTTGAGTGCTATAACAATTATCATTTGTGCTACATATTGTATCCAAAGACCAGATTCAAGAGAAATATGTGAAGAAAAACTAACAGGTTTTGCTTATAGCAAGCTTGGGGTGGGTTTTCAGTGGTTTGCTGTGACTGTGTGATTGAATGACAGGTGCGCAGTTAAGAGCTCAGTAGAGGCTGGGTCCAATCACATCTGGAGTATTGTGTTCCGTCCTAGATGCTAGAGTTTAAGAGTGTCATCTACCACCTGGGGCATGCCCATGAGGAGAGCAACCAGCATGCAGAGGGATCTGGCGCTGAATTTTATGAGGAATGGCTGATGGAACTTTGAGGATTTCATTAGTTAGGGTTGGGTTTGGCTATGGGTAACAGAAACCCCAAAATAAGAGGATTAAGCAAAATAGAAGCTTATCATCATTCTTTTATAAATCACTCCAATAGCCAGTTACTCACAAATAAGCTCCAGCCATGATGAATAACTGGTCATTCAGGGTCAACCACCTTCCCACACCTCCCAGCCCCACCCTCAGCAGCTGGGTGCATGGTTTCTCTGTCTAAAATGCCCTTCCCGATATCTGGGCGAGTTGTCATCTTTGCCAGAGGCCTTTGCTATCTCCTGCCCACCACTAGGGCCAGCAGCAAAAAGGTGTCTGTCACCACACAGCATCTTCTTTTTCCATTTCTTCTGGGACAATCTCCTTTCAGCCTTGTATTATGGCTGTTTTGGAGTCCTCTCCCTTCCTAGAGGTTAAGGCTAATGTCGTATTCACCTCTCTACTGTTCATAGACCCTAGAAGAGCACCTTGCACATAGTAGGCACTCATTTCTTAGTGAATGGGAGCGGGACCTGAGTCTTGGAAGGCAGGTGGGACTTACAGGTGAAAAGGAGGAGAAGGAACTGAGGGAAGAGGTGGAAGCCAGTTTCCATATTATCCTTTGTGCAAATTATCAGAGTTATGGGTTAGGCAGGATGTCTTTAGGTCTCAGCTCTGATTTGGTTTGAAAGGAGTTCCAAAGTTTAACAAGCAGTTAATGTTTGAAAAGACACAGTTATTGCTTGTCTCAAATGCCAATTCTTTTGTGAGCCTTTTGATGGGTTGATGCCATTGATTATTGCCATCTGGGGATTGTTACTATATTGTGTGCTGTGGTCAATAGGACAATGGGACAGGCTTTTAACTTTTAATCTTTATGAAGGTTTTAACTCCTGGAATGAAATAAGGTGGTCTAGACTTAGGTTTCAAGTTCTATTCCAGAGCCTGAAGGCTCCTTGGAAATGTCTGGGGGATGCAAGGGAGGTCGTAGAGAGAGCACCCCAGTGTAGCACCCCTGAGCCCAATGCACACCTCAAACACAGACCAGAACTCCTCTGATTCTACAGACCAGGGAACTGAGAACTATTCTTTTTTAAATGGCTCCACTGCTAAAATTACAATTTGAAAATTACTTATCTAAATCATACAATTTCACTTTATAGATATATAAATAATTAGAAATTGGTAGGCATGCAACTGATTGGGGCAGCCTACAGAGTTTCTTATTAACCTTGACAGTCACTTAAGTGCTTTTCTTCCCGACTGAATCTTTTACTCATTGTTTTGTCATTCACAATAAGTAAGACCAGCTTCTCTTCACTGAGTCCCTACTGGGGTCAGGCACTCTGTTAGGCAAAAGAAACCGAATGACCATAGCATAGGGGCCTGGGACAGAATGGTCTCCATGCAGAACACAAGCAGTTTCGGTTCCATGGCATGTGAGCAGGGAAGGGCAGGCAGAAAATGGAAGAGGGGACAGAAGCCAGAGCCCAGAGGGTAACAGGCCAGCAATGCCATTTCTTAATTCCCTCATTTATTGAGCAATTTCTATACCAGCCACTATTCTAGGAGGCTGTGCATGTTTCAACTCATTGAATCATCACAGTAATCATGTTATCTTAACTTCCCTACTTTACAGAGGGGCTCAGATGTGTTAAGTAACTTGCCCAAGAACGCACAGCTGGTAAATAGAATCTGAATTCAGGCAGGCTGATCTGCACTTCTGACCTCTCCTTTACTCTGCCTGACCCTCTATCTGACTTCTGCCACTTGATTTCACTGCCCATGTGCACATTTGTGTTTCCAGTCACATTGGTATCTGGTGATTTTTTTAAAGGAACAGCACTTTAACTTTTAATGTTTCTCAAAATAGGGTGTGGCAGGCAGACATTCCCTTAGAGGCCTATGAGAATATTTTTTTCCTTGAAAAACAATCCAAATTAACTTGGGGAATTATTTCTTTAGATCTCTGAGCTAGTTGGACCCAAAGAAGCTAAAAAAAAAAAAAAAAAGTGTCTCACAGCATTATGAAAAGTGTCCCTTCCTCTCTCTCCTTTAGAGCCAGACAAAATCCAAAACCTGCATTGCCGGCCTCAGAACTCCACGGCCATTGCCTGCTCTTGGATCCCTCCTGATTCTGACTTTGACGGGTATAGCATTGAATGCCGGAAAATGGACACTCAAGAAGTTGAGTTTTCCAGAAAGCTGGAGAAGGAAAAATCTCTGCTCAGTATTATGATGCTCGTGCCCCATAAGAGGTACCTGGTGTCCATCAAGGTGCAGTCAGCTGGCGTGACCAGTGAGGTGGTGGAAGACAGCACCATCACGATGATAGACCGTGAGTGTCCCCGGAGGTGTGCGTAGTCCGCTGTCCTGTTCGTCATTGCTGTCCACTTGCATACAGTTCACTTCCACATTAGCGTGTCTTGTCACTTAGAGGACCTAAAAGGCCGGGGAAATGGAAGCATTTCTCTGTGTAAGGTACCCTGCAGCAAACAAGCTAAAAGATCTTAAGGACCCTAAATGAGTTAGCATTTACCGATACAGTTAGAGCGCTCATGGAGCTGCCTCTTTCATTATGTTTAATGTGCCTCTGGCACATCACTTCAGGCCTGCTCCCATTGGGAGAGGAGGGGTTTTCTTGATTGAATGCAGGCACGCAAGTGTGTGTGCACATAACAGAGAGAGAGAGAGAGAGAGAGAGAGAGAGAGAGAGAGAGAGAAGATGTATCAACACCTCACATATTGTTTCTATGTAAAAGCAGAGTTGTGACCCTTCTTGCTTCTCTCTCCACCCTTCCTCAGGCCCTCCTCCTCCACCTCCGCATATCCGTGTGAATAAAAAGGACGTGCTAATTAGCAAATCTTCCATCAACTTTACTTTCAACTGCAGCTGGTTCAGCGACACCAATGGAGCTGTGAAGTACTTCACGGTGGTAGTGAGAGAAGCTGATGGTAAGCGAATTCCCTCAACTCCAAGACGCAGCATTGCTTTCTCAAAAGCCACTATGGGGATGCAGGGAGATGTAACAAAAAAAACTGTTCAAAGGCTCTTTCAACAATAAAGAGCTGGGTGTAATTATTCAATGGGTGAATGATAATAATAGCAACCACAACAGTAATAACTGTAACCATCAGTTACTGAGCCCATACTATGTGTCAGGCACTGTTGGAAGTGCACTGCATGTGCAGACTCATTCACTCTTCTTCACTACTCATTCAGTCCTGTTCACTGCTCTTTTGGTCTGCCATTAAGCAGCAATATGCTATAACTGTCTTCCCCCATCTCTGTCTCAAATACCCCCACCAATCACATGTCCCAAACCACCCACCAATTCACAAAAATACTCAAAAGCTTGAGGGAGGAAAAAGATGATCATAAAAAGCATTCCTCCTTTCTCTACTGCATTTTCTTCAATGTATGTTTTATTCTCTAGTTCTTTCATCCTCAAATTATTCTGTGTCTACTTAATGCCTGTGGACTAGGCAAATACTAGGTGATTGTTGAAACAACATTCCATACAACCACCGAGTATGATCCTCAGAGATTACTACATACATCAGCATTTATCAAAATACAGGAGCATTGTACATTGGTGTCCACATGCCTGTAAATGTATTTGCCATTGAGGTCTTGTGTGTTATTTCTCCAAAACAGATGTTTGTGTCTGGAACGGCATTGATATATTTTGCATGTTTTATGTCTTTCAAAATTCTTTAAGGTCTGCACATGAGTTTCTTAAGCATCTTTGACAATTGTAACCCATTTGTGGGCAATGGGAAACTTTAAAGCTGACAAATGTTGGAGCTAAATCGTATTTTAGATAGCTAACCGTCCATGCGCTTTTACATCTTATTTAATTGTATTAAATCTGGGTATGCATACTTAATTAAATAATTTCAAGAGTCAGTGGTGCATCCCAGGTTTCTTTACACCTCATAACTGGAGATAAATTGAACTGTGCAGCGACTTTAGATTTAAGTGGGCTGCAGTGGAGGTGATGTTTTACTACGTGAATATAAGGCAGTGAAGAAGTCAGACCCCAGAGAGCAGCCTTGTGTTCTTCGGCAGGTGGGTTTCAGTTATTGATGCCCATGGAGAGTGGCGGTGCTCCCCTGGTGATCTAAGATAACAATCCTGCTCACATAAGTGGCCTTTATCGCATATGCACGCATCCTAAAGGCCACTTTCCTTTTCAACTACTGCCAACAAGATAATATTTCCAAGATCCACTCATTTTGAGCAAATTTTATGAAACAAGAGTCCAGGATGCCATGAACCCCCATACCACTTCTTGAAATTCATTGTAAATAGTATGCGATCTCCATAATATTTATCTTCCTAATTATGCTTTCCTCCAGCCAACATCAAAACTGGTTTGCAGAGCCAAAACACACAGCAGGCTGGGTGGACAGGGGAAGAGTTCTGGGAAGTGATCGGCATGAGGGGCCAAATTTGAGCCAGGATTAAACTGTACTCAAGATAACAGTCCTGTACCCTGAGCAGTTATCAGCAGGGCGTGGCGCCTGGAACGTGCTGGTGGGGCGACTGCTCTGGCCTTGGATTTGATTTCTCTTATCTTTTTCCTATTTCCCAGGTCATAGGGATTTCCTTATTAGCTTAGCTACAATGATTATTGGCAAGCTTATTGCGTGGGTTGACTCTCACAGTGGGGAGTGTTTAACTTTCTGGAGTTGTGGGCATGTTATCATTTGGTTTAATGAGATATCCTCTCACCCACACATTTTATTTGCAAGAAAAATGATGGCATATATATGTATGTATATATATATGTATATCTTTGTTTATACACTATCATTCATTTTAGAAAAAAATGAATTAAAATTATTTTCATTGGGAGAATTTCACAGCATCCTTCGAGATCACAGATGCTGGGAATGACCAGAGAGGGTGAGGAGTCAGCCTTAGAATTCTCAGTAGAAACCACTGAGGCCACAAGAAAGTCAGTCTTCACTGTGGCTTTTGTCCTCCAGGCAGTGACGAGCTGAAGCCGGAACAGCAGCACCCTCTGCCCTCCTACCTGGAGTACAGGCACAACGCCTCCATTCGCGTGTATCAGACCAATTATTTTGCCAGCAAATGTGCCGAAAGTCCTGACAGCAACTCCAAGAGTTTTAACATTAAGCTGGGAGCAGAGATGGAGAGCCTGGGTGGAAAATGTGATCCCAATCAGCTAAAATTCTGTGACGGACCGCTGAAGCCGCGCACTGCCTACAGGTTAGATGTATTGCCGTCCTCTTGCTGGGAGGGATATGCTACATTACTAGGCGCTCGGCTGGCTGGGCCGCTGATGCACACAAGCTCCTGCAGATTAATCACCTACGTTACAAGAGTGCTCTATGTTTTACTGGGTAATTTATAAAAGTTGTGTTCCTGCCTCCATTCCCAGGGAATGTGTAAAAAGGACCTTGAGCATTGCGCAAAAGCTCTCATTCATTATGTGAAGAATTGAAGGTTCTTAACAGATTGTTCTTTCTCCTAAAACTTCCTTAGTACAAGCCAAATCAATTCCCAGGTTAAGGATTGTGACAATGTCCAACTAGAAAGATGGAGTGTAGGGAGACACAAGGAGTATGAGCTTTTAGTTTCCACTTTTAATGAGGACTCAGATTACACCGATTCATTTACCCTCTAAGGCATAAAAAGATGAAAGTGCTCTCTGGTCCAGACAGAACTCTTGAAGGCGGAGGCCCCTGAATGATTGGGAATATCCCCTCCTCACCCTAAGAAGGCAAATTAAAGGGGATGCTGCTTGGCCCCAGGAAGCACTACTGCAGCCAGCAGCCCCTCCCAGCTGCAGGAACTGGCAGAAGTGCACAGCATCCCAAACCAGGGCCCTCAAGAGCAAGAGAACCTATAGATACAGGCATCCAAGATTGGCTCATCTGCAAGGGATGTGCCTTCTCTGTTGTGTGTTCCCAGAGCTGATACTAACCAATAGGCCACCAGTCAGGTCCTCCATGGGCAGTGTCTATTCTTGTTGGTCAGTGCCCTGGTATGTTGACTCATATTTTGAGTATCGCCCCTGAGTCAGCTTCAAAAGGAGACAGTGACCTGACATCACACCTGAGAGCACTCTTTTTTTTTTTTTTTTAAATCCTCACCTTAGGATATTTTTTCCATTGATTTTCAGAAAGAGTGGAAGGGAGGGAGGGGGGAGAGAGAGAGAGAGAAACATCGATATGTGAGAGACACATAGACTGGTTGCCTCCCACACTTGCCCTGACCGGGGGGATGGGGAGTGAACCCACACCTCAGGGATGTGCCCTTGACCAGGAATCGAACCTGAGACCCTCTGGTGTGCAGGCCAATGCTCCAGCTACTGAGCAACATCAGCCAGGGCCTGAGAGCCCTCTTAGCTCCTTCCTCACATCAACTAAGGAAGGCCAGTGGTTTTCTTCCTAAAACAGAGCGCTCACTTTGGGCAGGAACTCTGTGGAGTTACCTCTGCCCAGGACTCACCACAAAGATGATATTGCCACCCTAGCCAAGATTTGCACCTCCAGACCAAACTTACTAGTGATGTTTACTTCAGGAAGAGACCATTATAAGTTTACTTGAAGGAAGTGAGATTTCGGACAGAGCAAAGGAGAAATACGAGAGATCAGAACGCTGGCATCCTTCAGGTCCTGTAACAGTGATGACGAATCTTTTGAGCTCGGCGTGTCATTTGAAAAACCCTAACTTAACTCTGGTGCCGTGTCACACATAGAAATTTTTTGATATTTGCAACCATAGTAAAACAAAGACTTATATTTTTGATATTTATTTTATATATTTAAATGCCATTTAACCAAAAAAAATCAACCCAAAAAATGAGTTCGTGTGTCACCTCTGACACACGTGTCATAGGTTCGCCATCACTGTCCTATAAGAATCAAGAGTGTCTGAGCTCCTTAGACACTTGGGCTCAAGGACACAGCAAAAGTCTCCGAGGCGCCATTTTCTCTTTGTGAGGAGGAAAGGTGAGGCTGTTTTTGTTTGTTTGCTTGTTTGCTTTTTGAGAGAGGAGAGAAAATGACTCATCACAACATTTCAGAGAGAGAACAAGAAGCTATAGACAGTTTGCATCTAGACCAGAGCCTGCCAGGCTCCCGGCACATTCCTTCCTGCCCATAGCAGCTGCCACAGGCCTGCCATTTTTTGGTCATTAGCTTTATAAACAGTATTTCAGTTCTTTCACCCTCATGTTTTCATCACAGAACATTGCAGAGTTGTCCTGGGGAACAGATCGAACCTAGTCACGTGCCTTCTAGATTAAGGTCTTCCGGTGATCCCCGTTCACCCCACAGCCTTCCAGAGCAAGGCACACAAAGTCCTCGCCTTCTCCCCTCCCATCTTCCTGGTCAGCGTTGTCTCCCACCATTTTCCCAAGTATCCCCTGCCCTTTTCTACTCCTCACTCCTGAGAGTTCTCTTGAACATGACATGGCTCTCTTTGACCTGAGGCTTCGCACATTCTTTTCGCTCTATCTAGGATGCTGCCAATCCCTTCTTTGGCGGCTGAATTCCTTCAGACAGTCCAAAAGCCAGCTCAACCTTCAGCCAGCCCCACGCCCGCCTTGTCAATGCACTGCTGGGCAGTTGTACCCTCAGCTCCATTTCCACAACACCCAGTCCTGACATTCTTCTAATCAACCCTCTGGTTACCAGTGACTTTCAACCCTTTGTTTAATCACCTACCCTCTTTACTACATTGAGAGAGCTCACAGTCTAATGGAGGAGACAGATGTGATGTTGGTGATGAAACAACATGACAAGTACCAGGCACAAAAAAAGCATTTATTAAATGTTTGAGAGTCAAGATATACTCCTAAAAAGTTACACCTTCTTAATCTAGTGCAATCAACTCATGCTGTAGATATTTGTTTGCTAGGACATACCTCTCCTCTATATCTCCAATGTGCACTTGGTTCAGTCCTGTGGAAAGCATGCCACAGTAGTGCTTGATGAGAGGAGGCCTGGCCTTTTAGAATGCATGGGAGAACCCTATGCTAAGTGGCCTCCTGCGAGGGGCGGCTGAGCCCTAGCCCCCGGGAGTCAGTGTTCTGCCTTCTCAAAATGATAGTCACCACAGTGACCTTCAATGCTGTCAGGTACCTTTTTCCCAAAAAGAATAGGTGGACAGGAAGAGACATGGAAAAAGAAACATTATGATTGAAAAGAAATTGGAAAACACTCGGTTTAGCTGACACACAAGCTTATTATGTCAGTACATGTAATGTGTTCCCATTCATTTGGGTTCCTATTATTCGGTTGTATAATTAGCACGGTTCCATGTGGGAAGAGAAAGGGCAGAGCATGATGGGTGAGAGGTAGTTTGGAGGTTAGGAAAGTGCTGATCTGGTTTTGTTTCTATTCTAAATAGAATAGCAATGTGACCACAATCGGGTAGTCAGCTTCTCTTGACCTCATTTTTCTCAAATGAAGGAAACTAAACCACATGGTCTCTAACTTTGTGCTGTGGAATTTTCTGATTCTGGACACAGTTAAACTTGAAATAATTACTATCAGATATCTATTCATTAAAATAATCTTACTCTATTATTAAATTGATCCTGCTGATCATATATTCACTACAGGGTGCCTCCTCTCTGAAAGTCCCTGGGCCAGATGTGGTAGGAAAAATATGGAAATAGGGACAGAGGATTAAGGTGGAGGGAACAGAGTGAGTCAAAGTGCAGAAGCAAAAACACAGATTGTTTAGAGAAGAGCAAGTAGTCCAGGTTCAAGCAGGGCTGGGGGCATGAGTTAGAAGGAGGGGACAGAGGGTCAGAACAATGTTTCCTAGCCTGTTACTACTTCAGCATTATTACAGGATGTGCCCAGATACTTTGGGGTTCAACAAATCTAGCCTTTTTAAAAAGGAAAAAATGAATCCTCCATTCATTTTCATAGGGTTTAAATTAACACTAGAAAAGGTTTTTCTATAGCAACCAAGCCTTATACTTGATTTATTTACTAGAGGCCTGGTACACGAAATTCATGCACTGGAGGGGTGGTTGTCCCTCAGCCCGGCCTGTGCCCTCTCACATTCCGGGAGCCCTCAGGGGATGTCCAACTGACGTGGAGGTGCTCCCCCTGCGGTAGTGTACTGACCACTAGGGGGCAGCTCCTGTGTTGAGCGGGACTGGGCCAAAACCAGCTCTCAGACATCCCCCAAGGGGTCCCGGATTGCTAGAGGGCACAGGCCAGGCCAAGGGACCCCACCAGCGCACAACGGGGGATGGGAGGGACGCAGGAGCTTGGCCAGCTGGGGAGGGACCATGGGAGGGCTCTAGGGCATATCCGGCCCATCTAGCTCAATCCCAATCAGCCAGACCCCAGCAGCAAGCTAACCTACTGGTTGGAGCATCTGCTCCCTGGTGGTCAGTGCACATCATAATGAGCAGTTGAGCAGCCTTAGAATATCAATAGCATATTACGCTTTGATTGGTTGAATGGATGACTGGATGACCAGACACTTAGCATATTAGGTTTTTATTATATAGGATTTATTTTAAATTTAAATTTTTTATTGTTTAAAGTATTACATAAGTCTTTTTTCCCCCATTGACCTCTCCCCAGCTGCCCCCATCCCCCAGCACATGCCTCACCACCCACCCACCCCCCATGTCTGTGTCCATGGGTTACACTCATATGCATGCATACAAGTCCTTTGGTTGATCTCTTTCCCCCTCACCCCCTGCCTTCCCTCATAGGTTCGATAGTCTGTTTGATGCTTCTATGACTCTGGTTCTATTTTTGTTTATCAATTTATGTTGTTCATTATATTCCACAAATGAGTGAGATCATGTGATATTTATCTTTCTCGGACTTGCTTATCTTGCTTAGCATAATGCTCTCCAGTTCCATCCATGCTGTTACAAATGGTAAGAATTCTTTCTTTTTTACAGCAGCATAGTATTCCATTGTGTAGATGTGCCACAGTTTTCTAATCCACTCATCTGCTGATGGGCACTTAGGCTGTTTCCAAATCTTAGCTATGGTAAATTGTGCTGCTATGAATATAGGGGTGAAAATATCCTTTCTGATTGATGTTTCTGTTTTCTTAAGCCTGATACTTTATTGGTAAACCTATAGTCTGAGAATCTCAAGATAGAAAGAACTCAAGAGCTGGACCAGGCCAATCTTTAACTTAGTGCAGCAGACCTGTCCCATAGCTTTCCTGGGAGCTGGTTTTCCTCCAGCCTCTGCTGAGAGCCCTTCAATAACGTTAAGCCCTTCACTACCTATGTGGCTCCTACTCTAGATGCTGGAACGTGACTTCATGACTACAATTCTGTGACGCCAGCCTACTGAGCTCAGTCCTGTCTTTAAGGAGGAAAATAAGGATGTCTGTTTCCTCTTCTACTTGCAGTCTTCCCTAAATATGAAGTCAGCTATCATGTTCCTCTAAGCCTTCTCTGTATCATCCTGGTCAATCACCCCAATGATTTCTATGCTTCCTAAATTATGACCCCCAAAATTGAGTATGACTGGACCTGACTCACCCAGAGAACATGAGATTTAGGTCCTGTGATAGGTACAGTAGGCCTTTCACCCAGGCTGGGGTTCTAATTCAGTGTTTTAGGAGCTGCACCTTGCTTGCTTATTGAATTTAGGGCCAGCTGATCTCCAGGCACCATCCCACATGGGCACATGGACAGCTACCTCAGCAGCTCTCCAGCCCAGGTGACTGGAATAACTCCAAATGCCAGATGGAGAGCTCTAAATGAGTTCACTGTCATTCTAACCCCAATATGCCAAGCAAAGCCCATCCTCTTCCCCTAGTCTAGCTCCCATTTCTATCAGTGAGGCCATTTTTCTTCCCAATGACCTGAGCTAAAATCTTAGAACAGTTGTGTTTTTTTTTTAATAATCCTAACCTGAGGATATTTTTCCATTGATTTTTCAAAGAAAGTGGGAGGGAGAGAGGAGGGGGGGAGAGAGAAAAACATGGATGTGAGAGAGACACATCAACTGGTTGTCTTCTGCACACACCCTCCCTGGGGCCAGGGATCTAACCTGCAACCCAGGTATGTACCCTTAATCAGGAATCAAACTGGTGACCGTTTGGTGTACTGACCAACACTCTAACCACTTAGCAACACCGGCTAGGCCTAGAACCATCTTGATTTCCCCCTTCTCCTCTTCAGACTAGGTCTTGTCTGGCACCTCCTCTCAGTGCCTTTCAGTCTTCTTTCTGTTCTCATTGCCACTGCCCGAGACCAAGGCCCCATGTCCTTGGCCTGGACTATCACACTAGTCTCTATATGGACCACTCTTCTCCCAGGTGGTCCTTTGCTGGCTCTTCCACTTGATTTCATACTGTTCCCCCATTTGGAATCCTGTGCTCCAGGCCACCCCATCTCCTTATGCCCAAACATAGTTTCCTCCAAATTGCAGTATTCCTCATTTGCATTTAATATGTGCTTTCTTCTTTTACTATTGGCCTTATTTCTTTATATTGTTTTTTTAGTTTTGAAGAGTAGTGAGCATGTATCTCTTTGTAACTTCAGCAATTAGATATAAAGAAGGCATTAAGTATATTTTATGACAATGACATTAAAATATTTTTAGATAAAAGGCTCTTTAGAAAATAACTAGTGCCAAAAAGATGGGAAGATACATAATTTTATTTGTAATGTAATGTTCAGTGTAAAATGTTATTTGTATATGTAATTATTTTAGTAAAATATCAACAATTACAGGAATACTGATAATATTGGCATTTGACTCATCGGACTGCTCTAACAGGCACCCAGAATTACTGCCCCCGCAAATGAACTCTGTACTTCCCGAACCCCTCAACATTCTCCACGGACTTCCTTGATGTTAGTAAACGGCACCTCCATTCCCCCAGTTGCTCCTCAGCCAGATCATATGGAGTCATTCTTGCCTCCACCCTTTCATACTGCACGTCCACCAGCAAATCGTTCAGCTCTTTCTTTGAAATATCCAACACTTCTCACTATAAATATGACTGCGTTTTGGTCCAAGCCAGCATCTCCCACCTGGACTTGAGCAATTCCCTGCTGACTAGTTTGTGCTCTTTTACTGCTGCTCCCAGGCTGCAGCAGCCAGAGTGGTCCTGATAGCACCCCCTAGTGGCTTCCTAGGTCTCTCAGAACAAAAGCCAAAATCCTCACCAGACCTTCTGGGTCTTCCATAGTCCCATCTAACTCTCTGCCCTCATCTCCTATTTCTCCGTCATTCATATATTGTGCTCAGCCACGCTGGCCTCCTTGCACCCGGACATGTTCCTGCCTCAGAGCCTTGCACCTGTCTGAAATGCAGCCATGGTTCCTTCCTTTCCCTTCCTCAGGTTTCTGTGCACATATCCTTTTATCAGAGACATTCATTGACCATGATGAATAAAGCAGTCCCATTGCTTTCCATCTCCCTTACTCTGCTGCTGTCTTTTTAATGGTTCATGCCACTATTTGGCATATTATATTTGTATATGTATTATCTGATATCTTCCATGAAAATGTAACCTCTGGGATGGTAGGGACTTTTACTTTCTTCCTTGCAGTATCTCCAGCCCCTGGAACATAATGTCTGACACAGAATAGGGGCTCCATAAATATTTGATGGATGAATGAATGAACCCAAGTCTGTCTGATTCCATGACTCACATCCGGCCCATATTGACAGGTCCCCACCCTGTTTCTCCTTGAACACGTTCTTCAATCAGCCCTACTGTGGTCAGCCACTAATTTGTACCTAAATAAATGTTTCTTTTTCAGAATCAGTATTCGGGCTTTTACACAGCTATTTGATGAGGACCTAAAGGAATTCACAAAGCCACTCTATTCAGACACATTTTTCTCTTTGCCTATCACCACCGAGTCAGGTAAGGCTAGCCTTTCCATTCCCACATATTCTCCCAACCACCGTCACCCACAAAGACCTCTCGTGGGGAGGTCTACAACTTGGCTGATGGTGGGGGGAACATTTATTTTCACTTGGAAGTTAATCTGTATGTGATTGTGGATTGATGCGGGTTCAAGGAATTCACAACTTCTGTAGGAGAACGGGTCCAAGGAGAATTAATCTAGAAAAGGGAGAAGCACCAGATTTTTTTATCAGGTACCAGATCTTTATTGAAGATAAATTTTTTAATAAATTCATTTAAATAAAGAGCTTGCACAGGTCAAAATATAAGTAGATACAAAAGGCTTTCGAATGCATACGTGCATATACATAGAAATATATTTTAAAAACTAGAAGAAAAAATAGCAACGTATTAACAAGGAATATCTCAAAGTAGTGGGATTATAGGCAGCTTTTTTTCCTTTTGCTTGTTATATATTGTTTTCACACTATAAAAAATGTTACCTTAAAAGGCTTTCCATAAATTTATGAAAGAGACTTCTCATGTATGTTAGAGGGAAAGCCTGAGTAATAGTGGCAGCTAGTACTTACGAGGTTGCCTACTCTGTGGAGGTAGGTTTAAGCATTGTGCACAGAATGACTTACCCAAGCCTAACTTCAGCTTCTGGGTGGATACTGTTATCACCCCCATTTTAAAGGTGAGGGCTGAGGCACCAAGAGTTAAAGGAACTCAGATTTCTGGGCTTATCAAGGACACTTTCACTGACCATGCTGAATAAAGCCTAATAGAGCTGGGGAAGATAGTAGAGCTGGTGTTCTGGCCCTTTCTGCCTGCATCCTTAACCTGTACACCGCACTGCCTTGGAATATTTCAGTAAGGCTGAGAATAGCATCATTGTTCAGCAGGTCTTTCCTCGTTACCATGATCTGCCCCATTCTTTCCCTGAAGCCCATGTTCCATGGTCCTTGGTCTCAGGAAGTTCTTCTTTACAGCTAAAACAGTCTGTCATGCTGCAGGACAAAAATGACTCAGCCTCACAAACACCCCCATCTACTTATGCCAAGTATAGGCATAATCTCCCACTTTTCAAGCCAAAAAGAGATCAGAACACAATTAAGACATGTTTGCTTATAATTTAATGTTAAGTAAAGGCTTTGTAAACACAAGTCTTTCCTCTTTGAAATATTGTTATACAGTAAAAAATATGTAGACTTCAGTAAAGGAAGATAGTAAGTATATATTTTTAAAAAGAATATTAACCACCTTAAACAAAAGATGATTGTATTGATTTCATGAGTCTTGAAAAGCAACATTGAATAAAAAATTCAAGGGTACAAAATGAAACTTCAAAAATGGGCTAATTCCTAGACTTAAATGTAAGGGTTGAGACAATAAAATTTTTAAAAGAAAACAAACAAGTACATTTTTGTGACCTTGAGTTAGAAAATGGTTTCTTAGGTATGACGCCAAAAGCACAAGCAATAAAAGAAAAATAGATGAATGGGACTTAATCAAAATTAAAATTTTGTACTTCAAAGGAGACCATGAAGAAAGTGAAACCACAGAATAGGAGAGACTATTTGCCAATCTTATATCTGATAAGGTGCTAGTATCCAGAATATGTAAAGAACTCGTAACTTACAACTCAATAATAAAAAGACAAATAACAAAAGATATGAATAGACATCTCTCCAAAAAAGATAACAAATGCCCAATACACACATGGAAAGATGCTCAACATCATAAGTCATTAGGGAAATGTAAATTAAAGCCACTGTAAGAAACCACTTCACACCCAGTAGAATGACTATAATCCAGAAGACAGTAACGAGTGTTAGCAAGGATATGGAGAAATTGGAACCTCATGCATTGCTTGTGAGAATGAATAATGGTGTAGCTGCTTTGGAAAACAGTTTTCCAGTTACTCAAAATGTTAACCAAGCAATTCCACTCCTGAGTATATACCCAAGAGGAATGAAAACGTATGTCCACACAAAACCCTGTAAACACATGTTCATAGCAGCTTTATTCATAATAACCCAAATATTCATTAATGGATGATTGAATAACAAAATGTGAGATATCCATAGAATGAAATATTATTGAGCCATAAAAAAGGAATGAAATATTGATCAATGCTACAATATGACTGAGACTTGAAAAATTACGCTAATGAAAGAAGCCAATTACAGAAAAATACATATTTATGATTCAGTTTATGTAAAATGTCCAGAATAGGTGAATCTATGAAGACAGAAAGATTAGTGGTTGCCAGGGCTAGGAAGAGGAGAGAATAGAGAATGACAGCTAAGAGCATGGGGTTTCTTGATGTGGGGGGAGAGATGATGAAAATGTTACAGAATTGTATGTGGTGATATTTGCAGAACGCTGTGACTATACTGAAAATCATTGAATTATACAATTAAACTGGTGAATTGTATGATACATTAATTATATTTCAATAAAACTATTTAAGAAATGGGTTACTCTTACCTGCTCTTAAACTCCCAGTGGCAGTATTATACCAGAAAATAAAAATAAAATTTTGTTAAAATAACTCACAGCCATGAACTGGATTGGCTAAAGTCCCAGATGCTGTAACTTGTTTTATACAAATGAAATAACATTTTTATTTTGGTGGCAAACTGCTGGCATTTATTTTAAGGGCCCCAAGCTTTATATACAAGCACAAACAAGTCCAAAATCTCTTTAAAAGCTAAATAACATTAACTTCAAAAATATAATGACCCACCAGCGTTTCATCTTCTCGGCTGCGTACTCCCATACTTCAGATAGGAACTGACTCAGTGTGGGCATCGTTTGAATTCTTCTTTAATAATGTTCCCGGGAAGGTAGAGCTTCTAGCTCCCTGGTTTGTTAGCACTAATGTGCCCACCTGGGTTTGTTGTTTCCATCTGTATTGCTGTAGAGCCTTTTTTTGGAGTTATTGAAGGCGTGAGTGCTGGTCTGTTCCTAATTGGCATGCTGGTGGCCGTTGTTGCCTTATTCATCTGCAGGCGGAGAACTAGGTGAGTACAAAGATCCCTTTAGTGATTGGGCCCCGAACCTTAAACATGCAACTGAAAATGCCCTTTAGCCTGAACAGTAAGAAGGAAAAATAATTTAATTTCTCTTAGTTAAATCACCTTTGCTTCTCAAGAAGAACAAAAGTCAAACCCTAAAACCGGGACTCACTTTTGTCTGCCTCTCTACACACCATTGATGAATTCTGCCCTCTCCAAATGACTAGGGGGTTGTGTGAAGCTTTATTTGAGTGTGAAACACCTAAGTGCACAGGAAAAAAAACAAAAACAAAAAACGTTGTGTGTGGTTCCATCTCCTCATGAAGACAGAGATGTGTGCAAATTGTGTAATATGCTGAAATATGCTGAAAAGTGTGGCTGACATCACCCTTTTATGGCTCGTATCTGCTGTGCTAATTTAAGGAGAGACCAAAAAGAACCAAAGCATGTGGTCCCAATGCCACACTCTCTCCTCTTGGGGAATTTCTTTTATTTGGCACACTGTGTTCTCTCTTGATGTCATGTCTTGCATCTAAGGTTTACTGGGGTTTTTTTAAGGAAAGTTTTATTGAGAGTGTGGGAAGTGATCGTGACCTGTAGCCAAAAACCAGAAGACAAATCTTCAGCTATTGCAGAGATCCGTTTCTGAGTGGGAAAAGTCTATTTCTTTATGTTCTTCCTCTCTTCCCCTCCTATCCCTTTCTCCCCCCCCCCCCCCCACAAAGAGACAGCGCTGGGTGTCAATCTACGTGAATACTGAAAAATCCATATATGCACAAGCATGCACAGCCTTACCATAAATGGAAAATGTGTTGAAGTCCTAATGTAATATGTCTCATAACTAGAATGTAAGTCCTCTCCCTTATGTTACAGCCATGGTCGAGAAAGGCCCTCTGCCCAGCTGAGCATCCGCCGGGATCGGCCATTGTCTGTCCACTTGAACCTGGGCCAGAAAGGGTGAGCACCACATCTTCCTTCACACCATTTGCTGAAAGATGAGTTGATTGTATTATGTGAGGTTTACTAATGAGGTCTCTCTTCTCTTGGCTTCCTTTCACAGTAACCGGAAAACTTCTTGGTAAGAGAGAAAACTCATTAATTACTATCGTATCTGCTTTTGAAATGGAGCTCTAACTGGTTATGGCATGTTTCCTTCAGTAATTTTCCTTCGGTTCTATTTTAATTCTAGCCCAATAAAAGTAAATCAGTTTGAAGGGCACTTCATGAAGCTGCAGGCCGACTCCAACTACCTTCTGTCCAAGGAGTATGAGGTACGACTCAGATGCAGTTATGCTTTGGCACCTAGTCCTTGGCAGAAGTTTCCTCCCAAGCTTTCCTGTGGAATCACAGGCTGATTGGGCTCAGGAGTTAGGAGGACACATAGGATCTCAGCTGAGTGCTCTTTTATGCCTGAATCTCTTCCCCGCACAACATACCACCTAATCTCACACGCCATTTCATCTCCAGATTTGCGCAGCAAACCCTGAATCCGATGATAAGAAAGAATGAACAAATTGCAAATGCAAACCTAAGGCTCTCAGTTACCCTGGCCATTTGCTTGACTGGGAAATAATGGGCTTTGGCGAAAAGTGCCCAGACTTTGGGTTCTGTTCCCAGCTTTGCCACCTATGTGACCTGGGGCAAGTTAGTTATCCTGTTGGAGCCTTCTCTGTAAAATGGAGATGAGAACGCCTCCTGTGGAACTGCTGTGGGGACCAGAGCTAATACCTACAGAATAGCAGGCATTCCATGAACAGTAGCTAGTGTACGTATTCTCATATTGTAATCCACCTCAAGGATTGTATGATTTGTCTTCTTCTATTTCATATTCTCTACTTGCAAATTTATTTTTGACCTCATAGGACTTAAAAGACGTGGGTCGAAATCAACCATGTGATATTGCACTCTTGCCGGAGAACAGAGGGAAAAATCGATACAACAATATATTGCCCTGTGAGTTTCGTGTTGAAGTTTGTAATACTGTCTTCCTCTAGCCTTTCCTCCTTTTTTTCCAGGAATAAAATGGGCTAAAGAAATACGGTATGGGTGGATTTGGGAGACCTGAGGCTCTGAATGCCTTTAAAAAGGGATGACGTGGATGTTATTGCCCCTCCCTCCACATGGGTAACAACAAGCTTCAATTCTGGTCCCGAGAGGCCTCTTCTGCTGTTGACATTTCACCTTGGAGGCCTCCTAGTAGTAACAGGGCCAACAGCAAAGGCCAACTGAAGTTTATCTAACAAAGTCTCCAGTTAGCAACTGTTATTAAATAATTATTACATATTTTAATCATCCTTATCCTATTAGCTCAGTGGTTCTCAGCCTTCTGGCCCTTTAAATACAGTTCCTCATGTTGTGACCCAACCATAAAATTATTTTCGTTGCTACTTCATAACTGTCATGTTGCTACTGTTATGAATCGTAATGTAAATATCTGATATGCAGGATGGTCTTAGGCGACCCCTGTGAAAGGGTCGTTCGACCGCCAAAGGGGTCGTGACCCACAGGTTGAGAACTGCTGTATTAGCTGAAGCAACAGTTTTTTTGCATTGTATTCATTCCAGCAGTGTGAGGGAGCTGGCCACTCCTTGGGCGAACGTCATAGTGTTACAAGTAGTGTTACAAAGGAAAGCGCAGAGGGGACTGCAGAAGGCATTTGGTCGTTTGTGTGTTTATGAACCACCTATGCAACCTGGGGCAAGTTATCCTGTCTGAGCTTCGTCTGCAAAGCGGAGATGAGGAGTCTTCCTTGTGGGGCCCTTGTGGGATCAGCATTCCATAAACCGTAGGAAAATCACCTTAAGACTCAGTGGCAAATCTGTCTCAATAAACTTCCTTCCAGATGATACCTCTCGAGTGAAGCTGTCCAATGTCGATGACGACCCATGCTCCGACTACATCAATGCCAGCTACATCCCTGTGAGTGCACCACTAGGCTGTCGTGCCCAATGAAGCTTTGATGGGTGACCACACGGAGATACCTCTCCTCCTACATGCTATCACTGCTCTCAGGTTTTAGAAGGCAAGACTGTGTCTGATTGCCATAAAACACAGGGTGTCCATTTAATCACTGCGAAGGCCCATTTACACAATGGCTATAGTCACAAGAGATTTTAATGAGCCCAGGATGCATTCTCATGGGTCATTTTCTCGCTGCAGCCCTTGGCCAAGACTAGAGCTCCCTAAAGACATTAGACTTCCCCTGCTAAGGCTGACTGGGTAGGGACGCTGATTTGAAGTTACTTGGATTGTTGAAAACCACAGACACAGCTCCAAGGATATGTCAAACCCTTGGGCTCAGATTCTGGCTGTCAACTTGCTAACTTCCTGTAGCACCCTACAGTGGAAGAAGCTTTGAGATCAGACAAATCCAGGTTTCAGTCCCATCTCTGCCCTTTACTGGACTCTGTAACCTTGGACAAGTTATGTCACCTCCATTTTCTTTTCTAAACAATGAGGATAAATAATATGGATCTCAAATAATTATTCTTTCACTCAGTGAGCACTACTTGCTAAGTGCTGGCTATAAGTCAAATACTGAGCGATGCACAGGAATCTGGTAAGATAGAATCTGACCCTCAAAGAACTCCCAGGAGAGTTGGGGCATCAGGACATGACCAGGCCATGCCCTGAGGAACACACCTCCACGTCATTGTTAAAATGCAGATTCTGATCCAGCAGGTGGGGGCGGGACCTGGGATTCTGCATTTCTCACAAGCTGTTAGGTGAGCCCAGGCTGCTGGTCTAAGGACCACTGTCTGAGTAGCAAGAGGTTCGACGTTGCCACAGCAGGGGAACATCACTCAGCAGACAGGAAGATAGAGGAAAGCTCAGCAGAGCAGGCAACGTGCTGAGACTTGGAGGGTAAATAAGGAATAGCCAGCTGAGAGGCAGTGTCTGGGTGGGCGAGGCGTGGGAGTGGCAGAGGTGACAGAATGTAGAGGCCCTGAGGAGAGGGAAGGAGAGAAAGCTTCCACGAGGTTCTGCCAGGAATTCTGTATTGCTGGGGTGCAGAATGAGTGGGTGAAAATATCCTAGCTCAGAGAGTTGTGATTAAGATTAATTAAGATCTAGGAAAGTCCTGGCTCACAGCATGTTATCAGATAGGTTTTCAATAGACAGTGATTTATATTTCCTTAAGTTCCCCTTGCATGACCTCTCTTACCAACATTCCACTGTCAGTTCTCTCAAATGACTACAAGCTTCTCCATTAAATAGGGAAAGAGCCTGATTAAAATCTGCCCCTCAGACACACCTACACACGCGGGCGCGCGCACTCACACACAATGGTGGATTAAGTGTTTTCTAGATTATCACCTGAGTCCTCCCTCCATTGCCTTTTAGAATAGACCCAGCCTAATAAAAAGGAACTTGGCTCTTAACAATAGTTCAACATTCCAGCCTTTGTCCTTCCTGCTCCCAAGCCTTGACACTTGTGTTAGTATCTTTTTCTCGTCAGGGGCCTGGCCAAGACCTACATATCATCGCATCTCTTTGTTTATGGTTCTGAAGAGGCCTATTGTTTCTGACTGCCCATATTGTAAATTCATCGCAGGGCAACAACTTCAGAAGAGAATACATCGCTACTCAGGGACCTCTTCCTGGCACGAAGGACGACTTCTGGAAAATGGCGTGGGAACAGAATGTTCACAACATTGTCATGGTGACCCAGTGTGTGGAGAAGGGCCGAGTGAGTAAACACTCTTCCTGACTTCCAGCTTTGCTTTCCGCCATCTGGAGGGAGCTCTTCCCCGCCATCCAAAGTTAACTCCTGCAAAGCTAAGGGTCGTATGAGAGAGAACACTGTTAATGAATTACACCACCCAGTGCAGCAAGGCTCTGTGAGGTGAGGCCCGATTTGGACCCTGGGCCTGAACTTTCAGTCCAAGGTGTCTTCATTTGAGGACTGGGAACACCAGAAGTGCCCTGACACAGAAGGATGAACTGGCCAGCCGTCGCTCCATCCTCCAGTGTTTGGTGAGAGGAGACACAGCTGAGAGGCAGTGTCTGGGTGGGCGAGGCGTGGGAGTGGCAGAGGTGACAGAATGTAGAGGCCCTGAGGAGAGGGAAGGAGAGAAAGCTTCCACGAGGTTCTGCCAGGAATTCTGTATTGCTGGGGTGCAGAATGAGTGGGTGAAAATATCCTAGCTCAATAGCCTCCTCAGAGGCTCATTGGCTCTGCTCCTACTTTTAGGAAAAAGGAGACGTGAACTTTAGGCTGTGTCTACAGATACAAAGGAAAATAGTTAACTGGACTAATGAAGTAAACCTCTTGTAACGCACTTATACTCCTCTACGTTATATGGTTACTCGGGGGGTTGAAAGAGAGATTACCTGTAAAGTGCCCACTACCTGTGGTCAATAATATATGTTCATAATCCTCTTTCTCCTGTCTTTCTCCATGTAATTTTGAGCATAGATAAATGTTCAGAATTTTCAAAGGTCATTTGGCACATGGCACTGGGCCCAGGTTAGGACACTGATATCAAATTATAAACAAAACAGGGCCTGGAAGACAGAGCCTCCCTCTGCCCAGCTAGATCTTTCTTCAAAAGGAACGTTGTAAGATGTTCCTACCTGCTAGTGGAACTGAAATGCTAAGGAAGTTAGAGAGAAACCTCAACCATGACCCTCTGTGCCCGAAAGGTAAGTGAGCCAGAGGTTGGGGTTCGCTCCTCGCGCCAGGAGTGTCTCCCCTTCACTGGCAGCGGCAGCTGGGCTTCAGCGCTGGCCAGGAGCAGGTTAATGCAGAGCAGATGCCAAATGGCTTTAGCAGCTGATCCTGGATTCCCACTCAGGAAGACCTTTCCAGGAGCGAAAGTTCAGGTTCACGGAGGAGTCACGTTTCCGGACTCACTTTTTTTTCTGTCTGTTTTCCTCTAGGTGAAGTGTGACCATTACTGGCCAGCGGACCAGGACTCCCTCTACTACGGGGACCTCATCCTGCAGATGCTCTCAGAGTCGGTGCTGCCCGAGTGGACCATCCGGGAGTTTAGGATATGCAGTGTGCGTTGGTTTGTCTGATTTCATTTAATGACCCAGCTTGGCAAGATGAAGGTCACCTGGGAATCGCCTATCTGCTGGTTCCTCTCCTGTCCTTGCAGCCCATAGGCGTTCCTGGTTGGGCACAGCTGTCAAGCTGGAAGCTTTGCCTTATTATCCTTATCTTTCTTCTTCTTTTCCTCTCTGCTCTCACAGGAGGAGCAGCTCGACACACACAGGCTCATCCGCCACTTCCACTATACGGTGTGGCCGGACCACGGAGTCCCGGAGACCACCCAGTCCCTGATCCAGTTTGTGAGGACTGTCAGGGACTACATCAACAGGACGCCCGGGGCCGGGCCCACCGTGGTGCACTGCAGGTACTCAGGCACACGGAGCCAATGACATGACACCTGGGAGACTGGAAAAGGCAACAGGGAGGGGATCTGGTGGGAGGAGGATGAGTCTGGGCTCAGATGTTGTTAGCTCCCTTCTCCTTCTCTCCAACCTCATTCCTTTTCACTGACTTCTCTCTCCTTTTCTGCTTTCTTCACATACGTCCTCTCTCTCACCTTCCTCTCTCTCACCCTCACTCTTCATCCTTCTCTTTCCCTCAGAGATTATTTGGCACATGGCACTGGGCCCAGCGATATCAAACTATAAATAAAACAGGGCCTGGAAGACAGTGCCTCCCTCTCCCCAGCTAGATCTTTCTTCACAAACAACCATTGTTCTCTTGCTCTTTTTCCTTTTGTACAAAAATGCAGAGTCCTCATGCGACTTCCAGGCTCTCCATCCCCCAGCCAAGTTCCCAGAACCCCTTCCCACTCTAGCCAGAATGGAGACGGCATACGTTTACTTTCGCTTCTTACTGCTTGCAATGGCCTTCTCTCTCTCCTCCATCTATAATAACCCTAACTGTCCTTTAAGATCCTGCTCTAGCCCTCCCTCCCAGTTGAGTAGCACCTGCCATCTGTAGCACCCAACTTTGCTCTTAAATTTATGTTCCCTCTTGAATTCTCTTGGCTTCAGACTACTGTGTGCCCATAAAATCAACCTAGCAATCCATCTCTCTCTCTCTCTCTCTCTCTCTCTCTCTCTCTCTCTCTCTCTCTCTCTCTCTCCTCTCTCCTAGTGTTTACCTAATTAATGTTTGCAGCAACACTTTGATAGTCCTAACTGAATGGCACTAATAAATACGGAGCAAGAAATTGCTACAGTGAGAAATGTCAAAGGCACTCACTGTCTCCCAATCAGCCCAGCACCCTAGGAGCCCTGCTTCTATATGTCATTGGAACCCTGATGCTTTTAATAGGAATGTGCGGTACAGAGCTTCCTGCCTCCTGAGGAATGGCAGGCATGTTCACCCGGGGCCACTGGAGAACTGTTTTCTTTTTCTTAGAAGTACGTGCAGCAAAAATCCCCAGGTTATGCAATCACTTTGGGGAGCAACTGTCAATCCCTAGTGAAGTTGAAGGGGTTCACACCCTATGATACGCAGTTCTACCTCTACTTATCAGCCCTAGCAAATGCCCGCATGTGTGCCAGTGGTTCTCACAGCAACACGGTCTTTAGCAGAATGTGAGTGCCTTTAACAGTAGGGAATGGACTAGTGGTGGATGGACTAGCAGTGGTTTATGAACTCTATAGAGTTGTTAAGAGAAAGTATATATGTGTGGGTAACGACATGGATAAGTCTCAAAACACAATACTGAGTGGAAAAGTTGGCAGAAGACTACATGAAACATGTTATCATCTTAGTAAATTTTTGAAACACATAAAATGATTATATTGTTCATAGATGCAGGAGAAGTATAAAAACATGGCTGGAAATGATACACACCAAGTGCAGAGCAGTACCTACCCCTGGGGGAGTAGGAAAGGTGAGGGAAAGAGGTAGTAGCTGGGGCTCTAGGTTGCATTTCTTTGAGAGAGCATGTGGAGAGGAAGACATGTTCCTATAACCTCCCATAACTTGGAAGGGAAAAGAAAGATTTGCTGGTCTCTGGATGCCCTCTTGAAAGGCCAATGTAGCCCTGACTGGTTTGTTTCAGTGGATGTTGTGTTAGTCTGCAGACTGAAGGGTCCCGGGTTCGATTCTGGTAAAGGGCATGTACCTTGGTTGTGGGCACATCCCCAGTGGGAGGTGTGCAGGAGGCAGCTGATCGATGTTTCTCTCTCATCGATGTTTCTAGCTCTCTATCCCTCTCCTCTCCTCTCTGTGGAAAATCAATAAAATATATTTTTTTTAAAAAAAGAAAGAAAGGCCAATGTAATAAACAGGCTTGGCCCTCCTTCCCCATCTCTTCCAGTGCCGGTGTGGGCAGAACTGGAACCTTCATCGCGTTGGACCGAATCCTCCAGCAGTTAGACTCCAAAGACTCTGTGGACATCTATGGAGCAGTGCATGACCTACGGCTTCACAGGGTTCACATGGTGCAGACCGAGGTAAGAATCACAGGCGGAAGGACACAGACCGCTCTCCATGCCTCCCTCCCAAAGCCCCCAAATGCCCGAGGCCCTAATCTGAGAAGGGGAAATAACTGACTCATTGGGAAGAGAAAGAGCACGAGGACACAATTTGTCTAGGACTTGTCATTTTAAATCTCAGGGACCTTCAGGATGGTGTGTACCCTTATCTTCATTGAGCTGGTTGCCCATCTTCTGCCGGTGGGTGGGTAGGAAGACAGATTATTGTGATCAATGCCTTATACCTGGGAGAAAGGCCAGGCCATCTTGAAGATCATTTTCAGATTGGCTGGTGGGTGAGCACAAGAACTTCAGTTAGTAAAGAGGAAACAGATTCTAATCTCTTCTCTCCTCCAGCCCCCCCTTAGCTGCACCCCCCCAACTCTGGAAACACCAAAGGAGTGTACATTGATTGGGAAGGATAAGTGCATCCATTGGTGGTCCTTTGGCATTTGCAGGGCATTTTTGAACAGGTTAATTCATTAGATTTTCACCATAACCTGATAAGAGAGTTATTATTTTCCATTTCCAGGCTAGAAAACTGAGGTTCAGAGGCTTTGGGCTATAAACAGCTGTGAAATGGCCAGACTGGCACTTGAACCTGCTCTAGAGAATCCAGGGCCCTAAGCAGCAAGTCCACTGCCCACAGCCTCTGAGCCAGGCCATGTCCCCACACAGACCAAGCCTGTCATTTCCCAGTTAATTGCCTTCCAAAGCCCAAGTTCTCTTACCCTTCTGTTTCCTAGGTAACTCTGCAAAATCCTCTATTTACCTTTTTTTGAAGACTCTTTTATTTTTCAATTACATTCCATATTATGTAAGTTTCAATTGTACAGCAGATGGTTAGACATTTATATAACTTTTGAAATGACCTCCCTGTAAGTCTAATACCTATCTGACACCACACATAGTTATTACTAACTAGAAGCCTGGGGCACAAAATTCGTGCACGGAGGCAGGGGGAGGGGGTGTCTCTCAGCCTGGCCTGCACCCTCTCCAATCTAGAATCCCTCTAGCAATCCAGAACCACTGGCTCCTAACTGCTCACCTGCCTGCCTGCCTGCCTGATGCACTTAACTGCTCCCCTGCCGGCCTGATAGCCCAACTGCTCTCCCTTCCTGGCCTGATCCCCCTAACTGCCTATCTGCTCTCCCCTCCTGGCCTGATTGTCCTAACTGCCTATCTGCGCTCCCCTCCTGGCCTGATCGCCCTAACTGCCTATCTGTTCTCCCTTCCTCTCCGCGCCATGTGGACCCCTGGCGCAGGCGTGCTGAGAGCTCTCTGCTGTGGCCCCACCCCATCCTGATTGGTCTTTACATGACGGCGTCCCGTACAATTTGCATAGACCTCTATTATTAGTACAGATGTTATTGGCTCTATCCCCTGTGCTGTCATTTACTGATATACATCCCCATGACTATTTGTAACTACCATTTTATACTTCTTAATCCCTTCTTTTTTACCCAATCCCGCTCCCCTCTAGCAACCATCAGCCCAGCACCCTAGTTCTCTGTATCTCTGAGTCTGTTTCTGTTTTGTTTTTCACTTACTTTGCTCTTTATTTCACATAAAAGTGAAATCATATGGTATTTGTCTTTCTTTGTCTGATTTTTTTTTCACTTAGCACAATACTCTACAGGTCAATCCGTGTTGTTGCAAATGTAAGGTTCCATTCTTTTTTATGGCCAAGGATTGTGTATATATGTACCACATCTTCTTTATCCAGTTGTCTATCAGTAGACACTTAGGCTGCTTCCATATCTTGACTATTGCAAATAATGCTGCAATTAACATAGTGATGCATCAAAATCCTCTATTTAAAAAAAAATAATTCCTGTCCAGCCAGTCTGGCTCAGTGGTTGACCATTGACCTATGAACCAGGAGGTCACATTCGATTCCTGGTCAGGGCACATGGTTGTGGGCTCAATCCCCAGTAGGGGACATGTAAGAGGCAGCCGATCAGTGATTCTCATCATTGATGTTTCTATCTCTCTCTCCCTCTCCTTTCCTCTCTCTGAAATCATTTTTTTAAAAAGTAATTTAAAAAAATAATTCCCATGGTTAAAGAAGTGGAACGTTCTACACGCTCCTGTCCGTGATTACAGCACACCTGGAAACCGCGCAGCAGCTGTACTGCAGCAGAGCTCCCCCGAGCTTTTTTAAATGCACTATCCCAAGACCTCCTTGACCCCGAATGCTTTTCTTGTGCAGCACATGGTAATCTCATGCGGAGCTCATACTCCGTGACACATTGGGAAAACACTGGTGTCATTGCCTCCTACTGGCAGTGCCCCCACCAGGGATCCTCTCCCACCACCACTGTCCTGGCCCAGGAGTGCTTTCATTAGAGCAATTATTTTATTCTGGAATTTAAAAAAAAATACATAAAACTAGGAAAGATGATATTATGAAATTCCATCTACCCAAACTCAAGCTTCTGCAATTATCGGTATTCTGTGTTCTTTTCTCATCTACATCCCACATATCTGGTTCACATGCCTTCATTGGACTATTTTAAAGAAAATTCTACTTATCACATCATTTCGTCTTTAAATACTGTGTGTGTGTGAATGTGCAAATTAAAAATATGGACTCTTTTAAAAATTACACAGTATCATTATCGGACCTAACAAATCTAATCATAGTTCCTTAATATCATATAATATTCAGTCAATGTTTAAATATCCCTAATTATGTCAAAAATGACTTTCCATACCTGGTTTGCATTAGAATACAATGTCCACACATTGCATTTGGTTGAGGTCTCTTTTAAATCTCTTTTAATCTATAATGATCCTCCTTCTAATTTGTTTTTCATGCCATATATTTGTTAAAGAGACCAGTTCATTTGTTCTGTAGATTTTCCCACATTCTGGATGTGGCTGACTGCATTTTCCTGGTGGTAATGTGTCATCTGTTCCCCATAGTCTTTGTCTGCCAGTGTGAGGCTCCTTAAATTCAGGTCCCTTTTTACCACCACAGTGTTTCACAGATGGATGGTGATGAGTACTTCCTGTTGTATCAGGTCAGGAAGGACTTCCTGTCTGTGTGAGTCTCTGTCAGTGCCGATGGAATTGACAGTGACATCCACTCTCACGCTCCCCATCAGCTTTTCACTTAGGGTTGGGGCAGCCACTGAGGACCACTGTCTAGCTCTGTTATTTCAGGAAGGGTGGCAGAATTACGTCACAGTTTCATATCAGTTATCCATAAGACTGCGAGTTCCTAGCGGACAGAAACGTGTTTTTCTTCTCTCTCACCTCAAAATATATATATATATTTGTCTATTAAATGAATGAACAAATATTTCACAATTACATTGCTAAAATGTCAGTGCCAATGTTTCATTATTAGTTTGTCACTTCTGCAAACTCAAACCAATACTTAATTTGTAATCTTAAGAAAAGAAGATTATCACCTTTGAGGTAGTCTCAAGGTGTGTGTGTGTGTGTGTGTGTGTGTGTGTGTGTTTTCAGACTCCCTGGTTATTGTTAGAGGCCTCTGGGGTCATGTGTCCCTTCCACACACCTATCCAGAGCTCTGAGCACTCCCTATTGTAAATATCACTGGGTGACTTCCAGGGCAGGGGTACCATGATGTGCAAAGCTCGCCCTCCTTCTCTTGGACATAGCTCCTTTTCCCAGTCTGTTCTCCTGCCTCTCTGAGGATTTTGTGGCTCTCGTTCCTCAGGATACCTCTTCACGGCTTGATTTCCCTGAGGTTCTGTCCTCAAGGCGCTGCCCTTCTGCCTCTACCTTTATTCTTTGTGATGGCCCTCACTCCCGTACACGCCCATGTTTCCCAAATCTCATTCTCCTTTCCCAGCATTCCCCTAAGCACCTGGCTGCCAGACAGTTCCTCCTGGAAGCCTTCCAGTCATCTTGACTCAAACAACTCGTCACCTGTCTTTCAAACACAAACTGCAGTGATAACAACGAAAGCACTGCTGCTCTCGCTCCCTTCGGTTTCAGGTGACAGTGTTTCCGTCCCCCTTGCCCTCCATCTGATCGCCTAAGCCCGGGGTCTGACTTCTTTTCCCACAGTTCTCACATTCAGACAGCCACTGAGGCCTGTCAATTCTGCCAGCACCTTTCTCTCTGTCCTAGTCTCTCACCCACTGCCCCTGCCCTTGCCCAGCCTTTCCCAACCCTCACTGGGCATATTGCAGTGGCTTCCCAGTGAGTCTGCTGTCTCCAGCGTCTCTCCAGACAACCCCTCATCACCACTGCCAACAACCAAGTTCTCTAGCTAACTCACTCTTGTAACTCCTGGCACAGAAATCTTAGAAAGCTCTCCATCACTTGTAAAATGAAGTTCAAACTCTTATCCGTGTGTCCAAGCCTCTTTGTAACCTGGCCCCAGCTTACTTCTCCATGTTCCTGTCATAATACCACCTACCCCCATGGTTTTAGGGTCATTCCCCTCCCTGGGCCAGGATGAACTTTGATTCCTCTGTTCATGATGAAATCGGCATTGCAGGAAGTGGGGATTTTCTCTCTCCCTTATTTTTCCCCCAATAGCAAATGAAATCCCAAACAAATCCAGATATTATCTGCCTGGCTTTAGGACTCTGCTGAGGTGGGCTGCTCCTACAGCCTCGGAGCCCAGGCCCAGCCTGGCAGGCTGGCTTGGCGCTAGCAGTGAGTGTGGTATGTGTACCTTCATGCTGTTTACATCATTTGGAATGTCCTACTTCTTTGCTCAAAATCTTAACAGATGTCTCCTTTTCTCTCTAGCTTGATACTCGCCATCCCCCAGAAGTGAATCTGATCACTTTTTCTTATGTATAAAGCTTTACATAGAATCCTGACTTATGTTTATCACCTTATAGGTATTTGTTCACATATCTCAGGGGACTTCATAATGTAGGTCTGGTATAATCATTAGGACAATTCAAAGACACAAAACCAGATAATATCTGGAGATGTTTGGGATTTCATTTGCTATGGGGGGAAAAAAGAGAGAGAGAAAATTCCCACTTCCTGCAATGCTTATTTGCCCCTCTGCTCAACTCTGCACTCATGGATCATGAAAGGGCCTTATGTATAATTCTATAAAAATTACCCAATATTACAACTTTTGGCAAAATGGAGTGGATCTGAGGCTTTACCCGTTAGCTAAACAGAGCAAAAAATTATCTTTTGATTGAGGTTAATGTATTAGACTGTCTACTTTTTGTGAATGAAGCACATTAACAACCTGAAGGTTTCATTCATAACCATTTTTCAAGGACATCCTATTGGGAAAAGAATTTATATTTAAGACAAGGCAAATTAATGAATATTAACTGGTTTCAAAGCCCATGGTGTATCATTGTTGAAGAATTTATTAATAAGGCATCACATAGAGGTATTAGAGCTCATTCACCACTGAATGCTCAGGTCCCAAAGTAATTTAATATCTGAGGAGAATTAAAATGTGAATCATGCTCTGGATGGGAGGAAGCAGACAGGTGCCTGTCATAATTTGGTGGGTTGTTTTCAAGACGGCCAAAAAGAGACTGCCTATGCTAACAACTGTTTTCAGGGTAGTGCCCTCCTGGAATTTTCAAGATCAAGGTGGTATAAAACCCTCATTACAAGTGAGCAAGGTTTGTGAGCAGAAAGGCAGAGAATAGTTAATATTAATACAGGCCTCATTTATGATTGTTTTGTGTCTTTGAATTGTCCTAATGATTATACTAGACCTACATTATGAAGGCCCCTGAGTAGCTGACCAAGCTAACTTCCAATCAGGAGCAGTGCCTAGTGCCAACCCATAAAAATAAATACTTGTTCACCTTTAAAGATAGTTGGTGAGGGAAGATCTTATAGTTTTACTTGGTGTCTCAACCTATGAAATACTCTAAGGCTGACCACTTCGATCATGGGGTCCATCTAGTTGACAGCAACACAAAGTCGTGTCCCCTGAAGTGGGGTATTATCATTTGTATGCCATAAGCGTCTATCGTGGCGTGCGGGATGGTTTGCGTTCTGGACACATGGTAGTTAACTGGATAATAGTAAAGGAAGTTAGCTGTAGAGGAGACCTTTGCCTCCTTGTTTGACAGATGGAGAAACTGAGATCCCGAGAAGCCTCACGATTTAGCCTCGGCCAGCTGCATGCAGACTAGGAGCCCAGCATCCCTGGCGTGGTGTTGTGCTCTCTTCCTGACCTCCTCTTTCCCTGGAGCCGTTGCTATGTCATTAAGGGAGCCCAAGGCCAAGTGCTAAGTTTACATGGACATACATTCCCTTATTAGAAAGCTCAGTTGGTGGTAAGGAATGGGGCCCATTGCACAAGTTTAGCTGCCTGTGACTGATCTCCCCTGACAGTGATGGCGAACCTTTTGAGCTCGGCGTGTCAGCATTTTGAAAAACCCTAACTTAACTCTGGTGCCGTGTCACATATAGAAATTTTTGATATTTGAAACCATAGTAAAACAAAGACTTATATTTTTGATATTTATTTTATGTATTTAAATGCCATTTAACAAAAAAATGAGTTCGCGTGTCACCTCTGACACGTGTGTCAGAGGTTCGCCATCACTGTCCTATGAGGTCTTCATGGTGTCTTTATAGTCACCAAACACTGACTCATCTATATTTGTTTCTGTTTTTGAAATAGTTAGCTCTCAGATAGTTGACAGCGGCTATCCCTACTGTAACCCTTTGTAGTTCTCTGCCGTCAGCCAACGTCTTTGAGATTCTTCCATGAGCCTGACTCAAATGCTGAGAGAATCAAGACAGATAAGACACTAAACTTGCCCTCAAAAGCTGATAGTCCCATTGGTGTCTATTGTATACCTTTCCTTTTTCTCACTATACTCCCAAAAGAAAGGAAATAAAACAGCAGAATACACAGTGACGTGCTTTTGTCATTAGATAATATAATGGAACTAGGATTCATCTAAGAAAACTGGTATAGTGAAAAGAACATGAAGTTTGAGGCCAATTCAGGATCAAATCCTAGGGTTCCATTTCTTAGCTTTGTGACCTTGGAGAAGTTACTTAACTTCTCTGAGTCTTCATTCATATGGATGAGTATATCTACTTCACAAGTTGTCAAAATATGAAATAATACATGTAAAATGTATAGCACGGTGTTTGGCATTAATTCATCTATTTAATAAATATTTGTGGAGAATATACCATGTGCCAGAGATAGTAGTTGGCCTCCATAAAACATACTCTATAAATATGTATTGTATGCATTTAAGAAAAAGGAATGAACACCACCTCTCGGCCCATTATCATCATTCTCATCTTAGTGGTAATAGAATGCTGTCACTCTTCTATGTAGTAGAGACCACTAGTGAAGTGGTGATCAAGAAACTTGCTAATCTTACAGGATGTCAGTACTGTTCTTGTTTTGTGATAATCTCTCATCTTTTTGGTACTGAGGACTTGCCTTTCTCTGATGTGTTTTCTGCTTTTCACAGTGTCAGTATGTCTACCTACATCAGTGTGTAAGAGATGTCCTCAGAGCAAGGAAGCTACGGAGCGAACAGGAAAACCCCTTGTTTCCAATCTACGAAAATGTGAATCCAGAGTATCACAGAGGTAGGATCTTACTCCATTAACTTACAGGTTCATTTATCAAGATATAATTGATCCGGAAACCACTGAAGACTTAAAGCTCTTCCAACACGCACCAACTATGTCTTCCTCTACCCAAAGGCCGGAGAAAGCCCTCCCAGAGGGCAGCAGGGGAGAGAGGCGGAGTGGGGAGGGGACTCCCACAGGTAACACTGATGCCACTGCTTGCTCTTCCTACCTGGCCTGGGGTGCCCTCCATTAAAGACTCTGCTTAACATTTCTAAGTGCTAAGGATCACTGCTGGGGAGGATGCTTTGAAATCACAACTGGGAGTTCAAATTGTAAAATCCCTTTGGAGAAAAACTTGCCCATATGTATCAAAGTTCTTAATATGTTCTTATCTTGTCAGCCGGTATCTCTACTTCCATCCTAAGTACTGACAGATTTATGCATGAAGCTTTTCATAGTTAAAGTTGGAGTAAAAAAACTAAATGTTTAATAATGGAGGACTAAGTATACCATAGTACATTCACTGAACAGAATACAATTCAGTCTTAAAAAACTATATTTTTGAAGATATAATAACATGGATATTTTTATAACTAAGAAAAGCAGAATTTAAGAGAAATGTAAACAACACATAGTGGGGGGAGGGGAGACTTGAAAAAAATATACCATGATAGTAAAATAAATTTCTCTGACCAATAAAATAATATATGGTTTTCTTTCACTTTATGGTTTTTTAAACTTTCTAGAACAAGCATGTAACTTTTTTTTCAATAAAAAATTCAGTAGGAAAAATATATAAACTTTATAAGGCATTGCTTTGGTCAGACAATACTTACTTGACAAATGAAGGGTCTGCATGCTTCTTCCCACTGCAGACCATCATTAAAGCTTCATTCAGCACACGGAATCATTGCATTCGTGATTTGTTGCCACCTAACAAATTAGCCCAAACATTTATTATCTCACAGTTTCTGTAGGTCAGGAATTTGGGAGGGGCTGAACAAAGTGGTTCTGGCCCAGGGTTTCTCATGAGGTTGCAGTCAAGACATTGGCCATGTCTACCAGCCTCTGGAGGGTGGGGGTTGGGGGGGAAGGGAGGGGCTGGAGGCTCACTCACAGAGCTGGTGGCAGAGGTCTCAGGTCCTTGCCACAGGGACAGCGTCTACACATCAGACCTTTTTTTTAAAAAAAAACAACAAAAAACATTATTTCAGAGCTATTTTATCTCCATTTCTAAATGATCTTCAATTTTGTTTTGTTCTCTGCACTCTCTGCACCCACCCATTAGCCAGTATGTGAAATCGATGGTTGGTAAACTGTAAAGCACAAATACAAGAAAGAACTGCTATTTAAAGGAGTCCTTTGTAACCAGATAACCCTTTTGTATTGTAAATAATTACCCCCTAATTTATCTGTATAGTAAATTAAGGTTTTTGCATGTCAGGTTCTTTAAGAAGCTCCAGGAAGGAGGGAGCTGGGAGGTCCCTTTGTCTTGTTTTGACTTGCTCAAGAGTCTTTTTTTAGAGTAATCCTGGGTGCTCTGAAGGAAGCTGAGGATGCTACAGCTACCAGGCATCTGAATGTTAGGATTCAGGTCCTAGCTCGAGGATAAATAACATTAACAAGCTGTGTAACCCTCAGGCATTCTTCCTCTCTAGGCCTGTGGGCTCATCTGTGAAACCACAGGGCTTGGCCCAGAATCACTAGTCCTTTCCAATTCGAGATGGTTCTGAATGGAATGACCAGGCCCCCACAGGGCTCGTCTCACCTTAAACTATATTGAGTTTTAGTCACTTTCACTGGTCTTTCCCATTTGTAATTTTCAGAAGCAGAGCAAGCAACTGTGACGTGCCCTGCTACCGACTCTGATTACAGTGTCCTTCCTTTCAGATGCGGGCTATCCTAGGCACTGAGGATGCACCCGAAGCTATCCTGGAGAAAAGCTATTCACTGTGTGATTTTTTTTTAACTCGCTTCATGCCCTACAGAGGTGCCAACTATTTCTATTGATACTATGTATAATTTATTAATCTGGAGAATTTTAAAGAATTTATGTAATTTAAAAGTAACAGATATTATTGTACATAGCTGTATTTTGTAGTTTCTTCTGTAAATATGTATTTTTTCATAATGTTTAATATTAAGCTTTATATAATACTATTTTCCACACCAAAGTGTCCATGGGTTGTTCTACATAAACTAATCCAACCTGTATGACAGGACTGCTGTAAACGGGTGTGGATGTGGCTGCAGAAGCGATCCCCTGGGCCCTGGTTTTTGGCAGTTTTGATATTTACTGAACAGGAGAAAGGACGGGCTGGGAGAGCACATAGCGTGCTGGCTTTGCTGCATTGCTGTCCTATGAATCTTGGGATCCAAAGATGATCCAAATGCTATTTGGACAAATAGGACAGTCAAAAAAAGGACTGGGCAAGGGGGAAGGGATTAAGTAGCACGGAAGCTGAAGGCGATGGCTGTGCCTAAAGTGGATTCTCTCGCCCCTTTCTCCTGCCAGAGGCTCAAGCCAAAGTAGTCAGCTCAGGGGCTGCAGTGCAAGGCCAGGCTGCAGTGTGGCGGGCTGTGGTAGAGAAGGGTGTGAAGAGAAGTGATGAATTCTTACATCAAGAGGAATGCCACCTGGATGCCTGCCTGTAAATGTAATCAAACTGTGAGCACCATCCGTAATGATAGGGGGTTGTTCACTGCGCCACAGTGTGGAGCATGGACACGCGTGCCCTTACCGTCACAGATGTGTTGGTCGACCTGCACACACTGGTCTTTGTCTGCATTCCTGGAAAAGTCAAAATTATGCCGGTCATACTTGGTTTTCCCATCAAAAGAAGATTGTAGTGTCAGATTATACTCCTCATCAAAGGACCTAATGCCAATATTTTTACGTAAATGCCCATAAATATCACATACCGTTAATTTTTGTAAAAAGACTCAGTGGTGCTTAGTATAAAATTTTCCAAAAGGCTCTTAGTAAGTCATTGAGGTCCAAATATTACACAGTCACCTTAAGGTATTTTTCATATAAAAGACACTACCTACTCTCCCAAGTGGATCTTCCGTATCTGTGCCTGTTTTGACTCCGCTAGATTTCAGTGAGTCGGAAGGCGGGCCTGGCCCTCTCCCAGGTGCAGCCGAGGGGCCTCCTGGGAGAACCTGGAAGCGCCTGTGTCGGATCCTCAGGGCTGCCTGAGGACGGGCCAGGAGTGCTAGCCTTTTCCCCACTGCAGATCTCTTTGGAATAAACTGAAGACTTAGAGAGCAAGCTTGTTGATCTCACGGCTTCATTTGCAAAGAGAACACCTCTTTTCAAAGTGTGTATTTTTGCTTCCTACCATGAAGTTCCATCATAAGTACTCAAATGGGTGCAACTGGTATAGTAATTGAAAATCATTACATGTATCCAAAATAGTTACTTATAGCTAGGCAAGTCCTCACCCAAGCCAGAGAAGTTTCCAGGGCTATTTGAGATGCATGAAAACAGGGGGAAACTTTGTCAGAATGAAGATGATAATAGGAGGGTTCCACGTTTCCACAGTTTCCTTGTGCTCAGCACCTTCGTGAATGACAGTGTGAGGCTTTGATTCTGTTTCAGGGAACTGGCTGGATTTTCTAAAAGTGAAAAGGAACAAGATATATGTAAGTGTGGCAGGGAGGAAATGGAAGTCAGAGATTTGGGCGATGTAGTGTCAGAATAACTTTCCCTGCATTGAAAGGTAAACGTAACAAAAATAACCCGCAGCATTTTAGACTAATGTTGCTCAGCACAAAGCACACCAATACAGGGAAAGACAAATTCCTCTTGGCTTTTCATTCATCTAGGAAACTTCTAGTAAGTACCTGCAGCCTGCTAGGCAGTGTCCTAGAAACTACACGTTTCTACTGACATAAGGAATGCAGCACAATAACAAAGTTAGGCTGCTGTTACTATTTTCAGTGAAGCTCGAAAGAGGGCCTCAAGGAAGCAGCGAGGTGGCCACGCCAGTCCACAGCAGTGGGCAGCCTTCCCCAGGCCACACTGGCCAGTGCTGATGCTGCGTCCATAGCAAACACCGGATCTAGAAAAGGGAGCAATTAACTGCACAGACCAAAAATTGAAACCACAAAAAACTACACATCTGTAGCAGCCAATCACACCCACATACCTGGTGTGTCTGGGGTGGAATTAGAGTCGTGGAAATGGACACGACAAGGGAAAACTGTATGTTCTTTTGGTCTAATCTAGGAAATATTTATTCTTACCCTCCACCCATCTAATTTTAAATCTCCTTAGCAACAATTATTTCCCTAACTTCCCTCCCACCGCCACCAAGACTAAATACGTAATCTAGTTGGTCTAGTTATTAAATTTAGGAGGGAGAAAAAAAAAGGTTTCCTTGACATTCAGCTCAATTGGATGTATTTTAATTCAATCCCTTCCCGTGTTCTGCCTTGGTAAACACTCCGTTTCCTGTCCTGGTGGGCATCCTGTCTGTGCACCTGTGTGGCACACTTTAATCATCATCTTCAAAGTGTTCTGACTTATCCAACCTTGGGAGAGGCCCGTCTTGCATCTTAATCATTATTTATCCAAGTTCTTTATAATTAACTCCTTTAATCTCTACTCATTAAGTCAATTTCGTATCATCATTCTGTTGTTCTCTGGATAGCAGCCAGTTTTCAGCTCTTGAATCTTATTTTTCAAAGGCACATTTCCCTGTCTGGGCCTACACACATTGGTCCTTCGTGATTTGCCATCCCTGAACGATTATGGGGTCCTCTTTTTCACTCACTACCTGCCTGCCCACTTCTCCTTTAGAATACCTTTGCTTTCCCAGTCGAATGTGATTTTATTTTCTGTTCATTTTATCTCCTTACACTCATTAGCATTTTGTAGTCTTCTCAGGCTCCATCTCATAGAAGAGACACCATGACTACACTTTTCAATACTAAAATGACCACAGCACACAGACATTTTGGAGACAGTTTTGTTTGGGAGAATCTTTAGTTAATTTTATTATGTCTTGGAAGAAAACCCAAAAGGAAGTGTGAAAATAATGTAAAACTACTAAGCAGTTGTCCAGCAATACAGAAACAGACCTCACATGTTACACTTCACAGTCTGATTTTCTTGCCTTAGTGTCTCAGGAAGCAGTTTCTTATATTAAACATTCCTCTTACCTCTTAGTTAAGAAAATGACCGGCCATCTATTAACTTTGCATTCAGTTGGCTTTCTGGGCCTTTGAGGTCAGAATCCTGAAATCATAACCTGCCCGATGTGTCTGACAGCAAGTAGTAGGACCCAAGCCCCAACTCTGGAATCCTCCAGACTGAAGTTCACACACATGAGCCAAACCAATTGACCTGGTGAACAACAGAAAATAAGCTGCTTGTTCGAGGCAGCAGTTCAAGGACTTGCCAGGTTCCTTTTCATTGAGGAAAGAAAGTAATTGGTCAGAGTGACAAGAAGGAATGGTTGCTCCTCCTCCAGGTGGCTGTGAGCAAGCCCTAAGCCCTACCTCAGTTCTGAAGAGTGGAACCGACTGCAGCCCAAATGTCCTAAGTTTCTGAGTATTTTAACGGAAAATCTGTAAACAATGGCTGCTGAAAGCAAATGAAATGCTGCAAGGAAAGGGAAATATTAGGAAAGGAGATCTAACCAGACATCATCAGGAAGGGAAAAAATGGCAGCCCTTCCGTGCATCCAGACTGTTCTTTAGAAATGTCATGTTTCTATTAGCACCTATTATCCTTTGGGGAATTAAATCACTTTGATGACGTTGGCCAGATGATTCAACTCAGCAATTTTCAACCGTTTTCATCTCAAGGCACACATAAACTAATTACTAAAATTCTGCGGCACACCAAAAAATATTTTTTGCCAATCTGACAAAAAAAAAAAAAGTATAATTTTGATTCATTCACATTGGATGGCTATTGTGTTGGCTGCTGTCATTTTATAATCTAAGGGATACAAGAGTAGGTATTGTGTGTTTTAAAATTTTTGTGGCATATCAGTGCACCTCTGCACTCCAGTTGAAAATCACTGATTTAAAAAAAAAAAAAAAAGAAAATCACTGATTTAGCTGATGAAGCAATTGAACCTATATCTTTGGTTTTGTAATTTGACCAGGTGTTTGATTAAATTGACTGATTTTGGAATTCTGAACATAGATTCTTGTAGTGGATGAGGCCTTTGAAAATGGCCGTTTTAGACAAAATGCAGGGTATCATTTGATGCAGCCATGATAATACAAAAATCTGTTCTGTTCTAAAAATGTTTCTAGCAATGGAAATATTTCTGACTAAAAGAATACTCTTTACTTGTAGGGGAGCTCCCTTGAAATAAATGTATGCAATATAATAAAGCATTTTGTTTTTTTAAAGAGGTTGTCTATATAGATACATTCATAAAATAAGGAAATTGTTGGTGAATGTTCCTAAAATAGAAGTTTAGGGAATGGAAATAAATCTATTAACAAATTTACTAAAGGTTATTTTTATAACCTATATTGCCTCTGTACATGATCTTATATTTGACACCTAAAGATGTTGTGCAAAACTGTGAATAATGTCTGACAAATGTAATGTGTCCTTTCTAGAATATGCACAAGAAAGGTTAGTTATGGCTGTTTTCTGCCTTAAGTAATTTCTTTTAAGAAATACTATTTTTACCCTAAGCGTTAGCTTTCTGTTATGTTTGAGATGTATTTTAATAGCAGAATAAGTAGATAAGCATCCCAGTAAGAAAGGAACATAGGCAATTGTGGCTTTAGGCGTTTGTCATAGAGTTGAACAGTATTCCATTTGCAAGTGGGGGAGTCTGCATGGCCTTGGTGAAATTTCCTAGTCTCAGCTACACTGACAGCCAGGTGCACAATGTTCTTATCTGAAGAGTTCTTGATCTCGGCTCTCCCAGTGGGACTTACCAGGCTTATAAATTGTACAAGGACAAAGTCTTTAACCTCTTCTCTCCTCCCATCTTGTAGAAATTAGTGAACGGCTTAGAGATATTCAACATACACTTTTTGAGTGGAAATTGCTCCTGGCCCAAGACTTTGGATGTGAAGTAGTCAGTGCCTAATAACACTATTGTCCATGGAGGTTCATCTGACTGTTCCTCGACTTGTGTGAAGCTTCAGCAAATAATGTAAATAAATCCAGCAACTGAGCTTATGTTCTATAATAGAGCACTTTTATATTTTTAATATCCTGTATTCTTTCTCTGCAAATCTGGTTATTTAAAATGGCAATAGATGGATTCTATTTTTTCATACTATAGTACCTCCTTTACAGTGTTGTGTTTCTAACCAACTCTGTTTGAGCGAAGAACTTCATTACCCTTTCTATTTAAATTATGTATTTGCTTAATATATTTTCATATTTGTAACCATGGTCAAAAATTCTATATGGTATTTTACACACCTTCTCAGTAGCACAGGAATAAAACTGCTGTTTGTTCAAAGAAAGTGTCCTGTCTTCTATTCACCTATTTCTCATTTATCAGTTTCTGTCATCCTTCTGCTCAGGAGAAAGGTCAGAAGTGACTGCTTTTACATGGGAAAATTTTTCTAAGCCGTTGTCATAAAGAGCATGGCTGTCTTGACCTTAATTCCCGAGTGCTGAGTTGGTTACCCAGGGTATTATGTGCATAGGACAGACTCTCAAGTTAACTGGCTCCAGCTAAATTCTTGTGTTTAGTTCTTTAGTTTGTTAGCAACCAAAGTGTCACCTATTACCCACAGTGTTGGTGTATTCCCAGAGGTGCTGCCTCAACTGTATCCCCGTGTGCCCTTCACTGACACTCCATGCGTTAGTGGGCAGTGTGATATTCAGTGAGGCGCTGCTGTGTCTATTTCCAGAATTATTATTTTGCCCTTTTGCCTTTCTCATATTTCGGTTGAAAGAACAATGTCTTTCACAACTTCAGTATTTCATTTTTCTACAACTTACAGAAATCTTCATTTTTAAAAAATGTAAAATAATAGAATTACATGTTAAATCAAAGCAATCCTATTCAACACAGCTTCTGAATTCAAAGAATTAGGTTAACAAAAGAATTTGACTTATGAGGCTAGACTTTTTTCACCCAAAGTAACTGTTTATTTCATTAATTTTCCTCTTAAAGAAAAAGAGAATATTGCAATTTGAAGTAATCACTTAGTAATTTTGCTGATACATCTATTACAACCATAAAATGTTAGAGCTGGAAGGGCCACTGTGGGGATGAACAATGAAGAAAACCAAAACCCAAGTTTTAAAGTGATATAGCAAAATAGGACAGTGATAGGATTTAAGCTGGTCTTCCTATTACTCATAGGAAGGACCTGTCTACAGAATATAGACAAATAGGAAAGCTGTTCAGAAGCCAGTGAGTGCAACAGCCATCTCCAACACTGAGACACAACCTTCAGCAGAACTTTCAACAGCGTGTGTGATTATGCCTCTTAGTTTTGTATCTCGTATGTCTGGAGACAACCATTAAGTACACAAGTATCAGACTGTATTTTAGAGTCATATCTTAGCAGAAGTCATCACAAATGTTCAAGCTGAAATATTATTGAATAGAAAAGGAGAGAACATGACTTTCTAACATAATACTGTTATAAAATATTATTAAAGCTAATTAAACCAAACCACCTAAAATCCAGAAGTGGTTCAAAAGCTAGAATATGAAAAAATTCACAAGAGACTTGATGTTGCAAAAAAAAAAAAAGAGGATCATTCATAATAGAAGGGTAAACTTAACTGGTAAAATTCAAGCTTGAGTAAAAGAGAAAAACATACAGGGATGGTTCTGTGTAGGAGTTAATAAACATTTACCTCCTCTCCAAAAACCCAAAGGTCAGCTCGCTAAAATATCTCCCCAGCCCAGTCTCTCCCAAGGAAAATGTTACTGTTATGGGAGAGAGTGATTGACTGAGTAGAGCTTAGGTTGAGCTTTATTATTATTATTATTATTATTATTATTATTATTATTATTATTGTTATTATTTCCTGGGGTTTATTGTAATGATGCAAGAACCTCTATGTAAATGATCTTAACTTAAATTACATTTCTCTGCTCTTGGAGTTCTTGATCCCAGAAAGAAACTGTGCATTATTTCAGTCTTTAAGAAAGAGTTAGCAATGAAATATGTTTTCTATCTGCCACCCTGCTGCAAGCTTTTGGTGGCCAATAAGTTTCAATGACCGAGGGCTTGCCAAGAAGCTAAGGCAAAAAACAACAATAACAAAAATCAAGAACAAAAGACTGATGGTACAAATACAGAAACAAAGGGCATTGAGAGTGGAAAAGTTCGAAAGCCAGGGAACGTTCCTAAATTTAACCTCAGTAGAAAATACCATTTGTAATGTACATAAATAAAATTTTAGCCATATATCATTCCTAAAGAACGTTCCAATGACCCCTGATCCTATCTTCACCCAAGTAGTAGATGTTCCTTCCTCACTCATGACTGATGGCTAGGAAAGGAGACCACTTCTACCTGCAAAGAACGCCTCAGCAATAAATAAAGGTGGACTGTGACGGAAGAGAAATAAAATGAAGGATCCTACTTTGGTGGAAGACTGTGAAGAGAAGACAACGGGGGAATAAAAATTAAAAGTGAGAGCTAGAATCTGTAGGAGCTATTGGGAGGGTCAGATCCCTTGTAGTAGCCAAGGATGTTCAAATTTAACTCAAAAAGAAGACATTCTAAGTCCTGCTTACAGTGCTGCAGAAGGGTACTCTATGTTTCATCTCTAAGATGGACACTAAACGTTGTAACATTTAGACAGTGTTTTTGACTTTTAAAAAGCATTCAAAGCTAGTGTCTCTTTGAGTACCTTCAGCTGCTGTATAATACAGATTAGTGAATGTCTCCACTTTATAGATAAAGAAGTAGAGGCATGGAGAAGACCAAGGTAGTGCTTAAAACTTAGCTGAAGAATGGGAACAGTAGCTAGTGCATATTAAGTGCTGTGTTCTAAAAGTTCTCTATATATCATCTAATTTAGTTCTTCACACACCCTAGTTATTAGACTTCTATGGAGATAAGGACACCGAAGCTCAAAGAGACAATTAATTTGCCAAAGGCCATAAAGTGTCAAAGCTCAGCTTCCAATCTGAATCCTTCTGACTTCAAAATGTGATTGCATGACTTCTATGCCAGACATTTTTTTAAATTTAAAGTTTACTCTTTATTATACTAGAAGCCTCAAAAAAATAATAGCAGTGATCTCCCTTGACCTCTGAGACTGCTGCTGAGCAAGTCCCTTACTTGTCTCCTCAAACTCCCTTCCTCCCCATTATTGCTTCTGTACCTGTAGGGACACTTCTCACTGCCATGGCATATTACATTGACATTATTGGTATTGCTTTCCTTACTAGACTGTGAGCTGCTTGAGAACAAGGTTTTTCAGGGTACCAAGCAAACAAACTGGAGACTGATTGTAGAAATTATGATAATAACAATACAGTAATATGTAATACTAACAGACAAAGTGCCTGGCATTCATTGCAGTCTAACGTATTTTAATTGACTCAATTCTCTCCAAAACACAATCCCCATATCAAAAACTGTGAGTTAAGAAACTGATACCTAAGAGGTCACAGCCAATAAATGACAGAGCCAAGATTCCACCCCAGGCAACCGGATTTCAAACCAGGTGTGCTCAAGCACTCACTCCATCAGGGTCCTCAGCGCTAGTGCGTGTGAGAACTGCCTGGAGGGCATACTATTAAAACACACAGTACTGAGCCCCATCCATCTAATTCAGTAGATTTGTACTATGCTCAGGTGTTATAAAAAATAATGAAGCAAAATTTTAAAGGTTTTTTCCATCTAATTCTTTGATGGTGATTTAATCAAATTAAATAGCCATATTTCAGAAAATAAGTTTGCACCTTTTTTATTTTATTACTAGAGGTCTGGTGCATGAAATTTGTGCATGGGAAGGGGGGTCCTTCAGCCCAACCTGCACCCTCTCCAATCCGGGAGCCCTCAGGGGATATCCTACTGATGGCTTAGGCCCACTCCCCATGGTTCTCTGCTCTCTGCGGGGCCTGCCTGCTCCACACCATGGCGATGAGCAAGCAGGCCCTGCTGGGTGCTGTCTGCAGGCATGCTTGTCTGCTCTCGGGTATCTGTGGCAACAGCCAAGCAGGCCCTTCTGGGTGCTGCCTGCAGGCTGTGCTTGCCTGCTGGGCTCACGTTGCCAGGGCAACGCCGCCAGCATCCCGCCTTGGCCACTATGGGCACTGTCATGGGTGCTGCCATCTTTGTCACAGAGTGATGGTTAATTTGCATATCACTCTTTTATTAGATAGAATTATTTTTTAATCTTCATCCAGGGATATGCTGAGAGAGGGAGAGAAAGAGAGAGAGAGAGAGAGAGAGAGAGAGAGAGAGAGAGAGAGAGAGAGAGACATTGATCAGTTCCTCCCATAAGCTCCCCAACTGGGAATCAAACCCACAACCTAGGTATGTGCTCTGACTGGGAATAAAACCACCAACCTTTTGGTGTATGAGACAATGTTCAAATCAATTGAGCCGCCTGACCAGGGCAGTTTGCACCTTTCTTAAAGGAACCAACTTTAAAGAGAACTTTGTAAAGACCTGAGTTTTTATTTGTAATTGGTCTTTTCTCTGGAAGATCAGAGACTGACAGACCTGGGTTCAGAAGCCTCCTGTGATGAGCTCTGAATTTGCACCTACTTTACACTGAGGAAAGGGGTCCTGGGAAATAAAGAACCTGCTGGAGTATCTGAGTCAGCATACAGCCCCTCCAGAACATCGCTCCTAAGAATAGGCTGAGCTCAGGGCAAAGCATTCCCCGATCAGCTGATGACACCATCGCCAGCTCAGCCCGTTTCCCCACACCCAGTTCGCTCAGGCCTGTTTATTTCTCTCTGTAAGAGGGCAGCCCTTTCAGCCTCATCTTTGAGATGCTTGCAGATCTCAAGGTTGGAGCATTCTCCCCTTGCGGTGGTCCCTTTCCCCCTACTACAATCTTCCCCCAGCACCACCCTGTTTGCAATAATCCTTTCAAATAAAGTCTCTCCGTACCTAAATCTGGGTTTATCCTGTATTTTCTACAGTTGGGGTTTGCCAGAAATGCATGTGATTTGTCACCTACACGGAACCCTAGATATACACTTAGGCATAATCAAAAGCAGCATCTTCAAACAATAACGGATGCCCCTGAAATTGTAATTAGCAGGAACTTTGAAGTGCTTACTTCTACAACGTGTGTGTTACTGGGATGTGGCTGCATCACGGTGTGCAATGAAAA